TTGCAAAGTCAAGGTGACAATTTAATTGTTACAGTGGTAGATATGGCTATTTTTAATGTGAAAACTTCCTGCTTTATTAAAAAGGGAAAGCATTTTCAGATGTTGAGGGATCTGATTTCACAGCAGCATTTCTCCAGATTAATGATGATGTATCAGTGGTGTTAAGCCTAAGGAACCCATATTTAATTGAAAACAGAGTTCAGGATATGCTGATCTGTTTATGATCACTGTGCTCTGTATGTGTCTTTGCAGGAGCTTGTGCCCTTATGTTACAGGTGCTCTACCAACAACCCTTTGCTGAATAACCTGGGGAATGTCTGTGTTAACTGCAGACAACCTTTTGTCTTCTCCGCTTCCTCCTATGGTGCGTTGGAATATCACATGTGGTTGTGCTTTTCAAGTAGATAAATGTTAACTGAACAGAATTGGCTAGTACTTAATTTCTTCTCTGCAATGTTAGTTGGACAAGCAAACCTTCCCTTTTGATGCTAGATGTGACTGTGTGGCTGCCTCCTGTGCCAGGGATTGCTGGATTTTGTTGCAGGACAGCAGCAGCAGTAAAGCGTTTCTTTGCTCTGAGACACTGCATGTGCAAAGTGTTTCATTAACACAGATGCAGTCCTTTGGGAAGTTGAGGGGATTTTGTTTGTTTTATTGCCTTTAACTTGCTTCATAAGAACATGCGGGCAGAGCACCACCATTGTAGAAGCCAAGGGTGTTCATCTCTGAATGGGCACAGTATCTTATTGGAGGCACTGTCTGGGCTCTTGCTTTTCACACCCCTTTAGAAGTGCTGCACCTGGTTGAGTTCTATTTGGAAGATGGCATCACAGATGAAGAAGCTGTAGCTCTCATTGATCTTGAAGCTCCACGATTGAATAAAAGGGAGAGTAAATGGCAAGAGATGAAGAGTGACAGTATCCTTTTGATTAAGATTGGTTTCCAGTCCTTTTCTTAGGGAAAAAAAAAAACAAACACAATTTTGAGTTATTTTGCCCCTCCTTGGGTTTAAAACTTCCTTTTTGTCAGATGACTGATGTGAGTGCAATTGCATTGTTTCCTCTTCAAGTTAGTACAACCACCAAAGAGGTGTCTGAACTGAACCTAATATTTCATAAAGCTTTTTCACCAGGATGATTTGTTTCTAATCATGTGAACTATTTTTTTGAACAATGGAATGCCAATGCCATGCTTTACCTGTTCTAGCTGATTTCTGTGAGGAATTGGGAGAATCCCGAGTGTGTTATTCACTCCAGTAACAGCTCATTTTAGAGGCTGCCTTCTCTTAGCCTATGAAAGCCAGCATGGACTTCCTTTGTTACTATTCCTGCTGGAATCTGGTTTGGACTGCTTCGGCATCTAGAGCTATCTGTTGCTGTGGGTGCCACGTAATATTATGTGCAGAGTAATGTCCAGGGAAACACCATCTCTGACTCCAGCTGCTCAAAATGTAGTTTAAATAGGCTGCTTCATGTTCAGGAGGGGGCAGAGAGGGAAGAAGGCAGAGCTGGTGTTAGGCTTGGTTGTGGTCAGCTCTGTTGTTCTGCAGCAGCTGCAATGATCAGTTTTCCCAGTCACTGTGAATCACATCCGGCCCTTCTCCAGTGCTTTATGTAATAATCTAGGCCCTGTAGCAGTTTGAGAATACTCTGGAACAAGGACACCAGTCCTGCTGGTTCGCTCATATTTATTCTGTGGGTGCTGGCTACTGTGAAGACAGTCCTTAAGAAATGCATCTAGATGCAGAGAGCTTGAGGCTTGATGACAATACAGATATTGAAGATGATGACCCCTTTACAGCAAAACTGAGCTTTGAGGTAAGAGCTGTACCCTTGTCTTACAGCTGCTTGTTTCCTGCTACCAACAGAAGTGAATAAAAAAACGTAGCTTACAGTCCCTGCCACTCTTGTGGTGTGAATGTGTTAGAGAGAGACACAAAGCAGGGATGGGAAGAGAGGGACAGTGCTGGAGAGGGAAAGGGATTTACCAGTTAATTGCTCTCTTAAATAAACAACCCCACAAAACCAACAAAGATCTTAAATGTTCCTGGAACTTGGTTTTATCACCATACAGTGGGGCTGTCTCCAGGGTATTCTGTGTCTCTGCAGTGTACCTGTAAATCAGTCCTTGCTGTGAGGTTTTAATAAAGGCTCTGGGCATGGGTGTTATTTACAAGGAGTTGTGTTAAAATGAATCATGGGAGCTCACTGTGGGTGGATGCTGCTGTCGCTGAAGGTATTGATAATGCTCAGCGAGTCTGGTGGGACTAGACCCAGGCCAGTTCTATATTAGCTTTTTCTACCGGATTTGACTTTGCTGCTTGCAACAGCTTATTAATCCTCAAAGGGCTTTGCAGTTGGTAACAGTAATTCCTTCTGAACCTGCTCTCCTGCAGCAAGGAGGCTCAGAATTTGTTCCAGTGGTGGTGAATCGTGCTGTTCTCCAGTCCATGAGCCGCAGGGATGTCCTCATTAAACGCTGGCCAAAGCCACTGCGGTGGCAGTACTACCGCTCCCTGCTGCCAGATGCCTCCATCACCATGTGTCCATCGTGCTTTCAGGTACGGTTTCATGGAGAGGTTTAAAAAAAACCCCAAAACCTTACAGCCGAAACAATTCCAGTCATTGAAACCTCATGCTTTAAAATGTATTCAACAAGTTCCTGAATGATGTAGACAAAGAAGGCAATGAAAACCAAAAGTCAAGCTGTGTGATGCACAGAGGAGCAGCTGAAAACTTTGAGGTAGCTGAATTTGAGAAGTTGCACTGACAGCAAGTCAGAGCCTCTCGAGCAAACCTTGGCTGAACAACAAACGCGGATTTATAGTTCTTTCTTTGCTCTGTCTCTCTGACTTTCAGCCTGCTCTAGCAAGGAAAATCAGTCAGTAACTAAGTTAGCTTGTGGTTTCATCCCTCTCCTTGCCCTATCAGGAATGGCTTTTTGAAACACTGGAATTCAGTCATGTTTGCTTACGCAGAAACTGTCTAATTTTTTCCTTCCTTCTGCAAAAGTAATTAACGGGTTTGTGCTCTTGAGCAGCATTGGCAATGCCCTGTGAAGTGCCTGCTGCTCTGTTCCAGGTCATAGCACGCTCAAGCAGTTGGAAGCAAGAAGACCAATTCTCTTGTAGGGTAGCTTCAGAATGTTGGTGCCGTAAAGAAGCCACTGAGCTTGGTTAGCATTTTCTTTGAGCAAGTCCTAGGCTAACTTGTCCCTAAATCTGCTCCTCATTAACAGATGTTTCACACAGAAGACTATGAGCTGCTCGTACTCCAGCATAACTGTTGTCCCTTCTGTAGACGGAGAATAGATGAGTCAAACCAATGAAGAAAACCAGTCTCATACCTCAGCTGACAGACTGCCCTCTTGGCTTGGCAGGACACCCCTGAGACTCACAGAGCTTTCCTGACAACTTCGCTAAGTTGTTGCTCCAGTTTGTCCACCAGAGTGGAACTGAGTTGAAGAAATGTAACTTTTTTAAATGCTGAGGTCTGTTGTTTGTGAATTTCCCACAGCAGCTGAAGTGCCACAGAGTTTTACCAGAATGTTTCTAGGGTCAAGTTCAGTCTTGAAGTAATTGTTATTTTGATTCCAGTTTGTATTAGGACTTGATTTGCTCCTTACTCTGTACCTGTTATGGACAGATCTCCAAATAAACAGGACTATTTTTCACTAGTCTCGGTCTGGGAATGTTTTTTCTTTCTATTCCATTTAGGCAAGGACAGTTGTAGAATTTAGAGCTCTTAAAATGTGACCTTAAGAGCTACGCTCACTTCGCACTGGGGGCCCTCTCGCAGCCCCATGGAGGATTTAATGCTGCAGCCGCTTGACCAAGTGCAGTGAGTTGGTCCTGGCAGCAGCTCAGCCCCATGCAGCAGTTTGCTCAGTCCCCACCACCTCCCTGCAGGACTAGGGGGAAAATAACAAGAGCAAAGGCAAAAAAGCTCACGGGTTGAGATAGAGACAGTTTAAATGAAGCAAAGCTGTGCATGCAAGCAAAGCAGTGAGGAATTTCTTGACTTCTTCCCAGTGGCAGGCAGATGTCCAGCCTGCTTCCTGGAGAGCAGAGCCTCAGCATGAGTAACGGTTACTTGGGAAGGCGAACACCACAAACGCAACATCCTCCTTCCTCCTCCTTTCCCTGAGCTTTTATTTCCAAGCACATCCTTGCCCAGCTGTCCCAGCTCCATCCCCTCCCTGCTTCTTGCCCAGCTCTGGCCTGTTGCTTGGGGGACAGTGGGGAAGAAGGCAAGCTCTGGTCTCGGCTGTAGGCACAGCACTGGTGTTTGTCAGCACTGGCTCAGACACAAACCTGATGGGTCAGGGCTCCCAGGGGCGGCCACTGAGCAGTTCTGCAGTGGGAACTGCTTTGGCTGGATGGAAGCAGGGGAGTGACAGGTCTCTTGACTTTAATGCAGTACCTGTTGTGCCTGTTTCACCAAGACTTGTGGTATTGTTAAAACATCCTGCCTGTTGCAGCTTCCCTTTGTCTGGATCCTGCCTCGCTGTCCGGAGCTGCTGCCTGAGGTGGGTGGGTGCTGGTGAAGCAGCTACGCAGGGATGGGGCTCTGCATGTGAGACTGGTGGTGTGGTTGTGGCTGCTTGAGTTCCTCCTGAACGTGCCACCCTGCCATGGCACTGCAGGATTCCCAGTCCCCTGGGCGTTCCTGACCAAGTTTGCTTAATTTACCACTTCAAAACATTCTGTTCTAATTAGGGCTTGTCTGCTTTCTGACTCATCTGTCACTGTTTGCAGTGAAGACTTTGCTATTGCCATGGATAAACAATGCTGTTGGAGACGGAGCCAGAGAGGAATTTGCTCGTTCCCCAGCACTGACTGAGCTGGCTTTGCACAGTAGTGGGAAGGAAGAACTATGCAAATAAATAGAGGGTTTGTTGTGACACCGAGACAAAGTGGATGGAGCGAGGAAGCTTCTTTCTGTCCTTTAAACAATTCTGTGAGTACGGTCCAGGTCTGAAAGTGCAGACACAACTCCAGGCAAAGCCACACTTGGCACATCTCATGTCAGGAAGGTGTATCTAGCTCCATGCTGCCCTGGGCTGCTCAGACTCTCAGCTGCCCCATGATAACGAGTCCCTGGATGTGCAAGAAATCCCACCAGGGCCATTGCTCTTCACTGCCCCTCTGCTCCTCAGTGACGCACAGCACTAAGCACCCAGTGGCAGCTGCTGACCTCGGCAGTGGCTTATTGCATCAGAGCTTAAGGTAGCACATTTGTGCACTGGAAGATAAACCTTTAATCCTTCTTGTAGGCCAAGGTGGGGTGCAAACAGCTGCACTTGCAGTACCCCGGTGGCACTCTCTGGCCTTGGCAACAAGTGTGAAAAGTTAATTGAGAGGACAAGTGGGGGGTGTTTTCACGGAACATAAAGGAAGACCTTTGGGTCTGCCCAGAGTGATCGTGGCCTGCCTTGGCTGCAGCCAGCCAGGTCTTCTGTTGTCCATGGGGCCAGCACTTCAGTTCCTTCAGACCTTCCCCACTTGGAGTGAAGGTTTCCAACTTGGTTTCTTCCTTAAAGAGAGCACAGTGCTTGGTGCTTTGTTCCTTTAAACCTTCTGCATGTGCTAACCTAACCCACAGGGAACACGGTAAAACTAAGCCAGGACTGAAGGAGATCTGTTGAGGCCAAGAGGACATGAGCTTCTGCCCACCTCGTACCCGTGAGCTCCAGCAGCTCAGGCACATCCTCCTGTGCTGGATGCAGCACTCACAGCCTCCAGTCAGCTTTGTTGTGTTCCTGCTGTATGTGTCCCACTGCCTCTGAAACACAAAGAGAAGACAATGTGGGACTCAATCACTGGTTGGCACAAAGAACGTCTCAAGCACGGTCAAGTGCATTGAGTGGGGAGGCAGAGAGACGTGGAGGACAGGGGATGCCCTGATGAGTGCTTCCCCTGTGGGATTTGGTGATCCTGGAAGGTTCTGGAAAGACAAAAGATTTTTGTCAAGGGGCGAATGAAGTTGAGTGTGGCTGCGGCCCAAAACCTCCCTTCAGTGCCCTTGTCCAGCAGCTGTCTCAGCACCGGTGCAGAACGATGCCTATCCAGGACAGATGGACTAGGTTACCTATTTGTTGTTACCAATGTAAGTGGCAAGACCCAAACCACGTGCAAAGCCAGTCTCAGAAGGTTGGTACCACTGGAAATCTGCCAGTGGGGTCAGTGCTTCACTCTGGTGTTCCAACCTCCCCAGCCAAATCCTGCAGCAGAAAAAGACGTGGCTGCGAGCACATGGAAGCAGGGTTGGTGATGCTCATGCTGCCTGAGAGCTGCCTTCTGCAGCCTCCCGCAGGGAATGGCAGTTCTGGTGGGGATGGTTTTCCATGGGGACTCTGGAGAGTCACTGACCCACTTCTCTTGTAAGAAGGGGCCTGGGACACCCCTCTGTCACTGATGGAGCCCACCACAGCGCCCTGCCCTGCCCAGCCACCATCTGCAACCCCCAAACCCACAGTTGTGGGGTTTTGAACCTCAAACTTCCCTCCTGTTAGTGGGGGATGGAAGGGAGCTTCTACTTGTTGGAGAGACCTGAAAGCTCAGCCCAGGAGCCAAGATAAGGATTCCCATCTGCCTTGTCATCCCCTGGCAACCTGATGGTGATGCATCCCAACCCCAGCACCTCCCTGTGGGGAAACTGAGGCACTTAATATGGATGGGCAGTGCGCACGAATGCCAGTGGAGGGTGGGCTGAAGGCCTTGGGGGTGAGGGTGGCACATGTCCTCCTGGGCAATGGCAGCATTGAGCTGTGGATGTCCAGCTCTGGATCATGGGGTGCAAGGACTCCCATGGGGGCCAGGCCCACCCCAAACCCTTGCTCCCAGGGGAGCACAGCTGTGCTGAGAAGCGAGGCTCCGTGAGTGGAGCTGCTGCCCGGTTTGGGCCCCCCCAAACGAAAGCTGTGGTGCAGAGCTGCCCCTGTATATGCCCATGAACCATGGTCCCCAACAATGGCAGTGTAGGCCGGAGACAGGTGTCCCCTTAATACCCTCCCAGAAAAGCCAATTACCCCGCATGATTATGATTAATAATTCTGTAAGCCCCGATCGCGCTGACTCCGGCGCCCGCAGCTTACCCCAGGGGGCACTTTATAAGAGGTGCCCGTGGGGGTGAGCGCCGCCGCTTCTCCTTGGGGTGACTGCGAAGGCTGAGAGGTGGCGGGAGCCCCACTCGAGAGGTGAACCCCCCGCACAGCACCGAACCCCTGAGGAAGAGCACGAGGCACCCCCCGAGCCGCAGCCATGAACGGGACCGAAGGCCAAGACTTCTACGTGCCTATGTCCAACAAGACTGGGGTAGTGCGGAGCCCCTTCGAATACCCCCAGTACTACCTGGCTGAGCCCTGGAAGTTCTCGGCACTGGCTGCCTACATGTTCATGCTGATCCTGCTTGGCTTCCCTATCAACTTCCTCACGCTGTACGTCACCATACAGCACAAGAAGCTCCGGACACCTCTAAACTACATCCTCCTGAACCTGGCAGTCGCCGACCTCTTCATGGTCTTTGGTGGCTTCACGACCACCATGTACACTTCGATGAATGGGTACTTTGTCTTTGGAGTAACGGGGTGCTACATCGAAGGCTTCTTTGCCACGCTGGGTGGTAAGTTTCCCAGATACCAAAACATCTCCTGCTAGAAATGGCCCCGGATTTTAGGAGGGGGAGGGAAGGCACCCAGATGTTCTCGGGAACACAGGATTTAGGGTGGGAAGTGAAGAAAGTGACAAATGGCACTTCTTTTTTTTACCATATTTTGGTAGCCAGCTGCTCAGTACCCAGAGAACAACAGCTTAGCAATGAAAAGCAACCAACCAGCAGCAGATTCAGCAGTCGCTGGATTTGCACATCTCTCTGGCTTGCTTTCTGACTTGAGAGGTGACAGATTTGTTCTTCCTGTTTTGTGGAGCTGAGTCTGCCATGGGCTCTGCTGCCATGCGTGGTGGTGCAGGCTGGCAAAGCTGCCTCTCCCCCCCCGTGCCAGCCAGGCCTGGACTGAAGCAGATGTTAAATAAAAACTGTGTCTAAAAATGTTCTCCTCCATTCAGCTCTGGCTTCAGCCATAGCCTGAAGTGGTTCTGGTTTGGTCCTTGGGGCACAAGTTTCCTGGGAAGCTTTGAGGGAAAATCCTGGGATGATGGGCACTTGCTGTATCTCGGAGTGAGACCGTAGGCTTGCAAGTGCTGTCTGGGATGTGTGGTAGCATCTAGCCATAAAATACCACAGCAAAGTGGTTACTGTGGTTAAGCGGTGCAGCAAGGAGGTGTCTTCTCATGCATCTGGGCTTGGCCTCAGTTCATTCCTCTTTCCCAGCCATTGGTGGACATTTACCTGCTGCCAGGAGTCTTCCTTGGGAACAACAGCCCGAGGGGGCCTCGTGCTGCAATCAGTGTTTCTGCTGCTGCTCCAAGCCCCCGTGTCCTTGTCCCTCTCTCCTTGGCACAGGTGAAATCGCTCTCTGGTCGCTGGTTGTCCTGGCCATCGAAAGATACGTGGTGGTCTGCAAGCCCATGAGCAACTTCCGCTTCGGGGAGAACCACGCCATCATGGGCGTTGCCTTCTCCTGGATCATGGCACTGGCGTGCGCCGCTCCCCCGCTCTTCGGCTGGTCCAGGTACGGGCAGCAGGGCCGGGGCTGTGGGAACCTGGTGCCGGCTCGGCCACACTCCACTGGGTGCTGACCTGCCCCGCTCTCCTCTCCTCGCAGGTACATCCCCGAGGGCATGCAGTGCTCGTGTGGGATTGACTATTACACCCTGAAGCCAGAGATCAACAACGAATCTTTCGTCATCTACATGTTTGTGGTTCACTTCATGATCCCGCTGATGATCATTTTCTTCTGCTATGGGAACCTGGTTTGCACTGTCAAGGAGGTGGGTACCTGCCAGTGGTGGGGTTCAGGGCCACCCTGTGCCGAGTGCTGGGAGGGGGCCCGCGCCAGGCTGGTGACAGAAAGGAGCCTTGGTGCCAGACTGGCTGTCCACAAAGGGGGAAACATCAGATGCCAGATGTGCAGCTCAACCACCCCAAGCCCTGACCCCATGTCCTGGGCTGGCACAGCATCCCCCAGCTCCATCATGTTTTCCTTCCCTCCTTCCCACAGGCTGCTGCCCAGCAGCAGGAGTCTGCCACCACCCAGAAGGCAGAGAAGGAAGTGACCCGCATGGTCATCATCATGGTCATCGCCTTCCTGATATGCTGGGTCCCCTACGCCAGTGTCGCTTTCTACATCTTCACCAACCAGGGGTCAGACTTTGGGCCCATCTTCATGACCATCCCGGCTTTCTTTGCCAAGAGCTCCTCCATCTACAACCCTGTGATTTACATTGTCATGAACAAACAGGTAACCGGCCAGGAGCCAGGCAACCTCCCTTCTTGTGTCTCACTTTGTAACAGCTTGCAGAGAGTTTCGGCACCTTGAGGTGCCCGTGGGCCAGGAGGGGGGGTTGTTTCCAGGTGATCTTGTTCCAGCATGCTGGAGGGGAACTGGGCAGCCCAGTATTGCACGGATCTCATGGCTCCTTCCACCTGAAACGAGCCAGGCACTGTGTCACGGGAGCAGCTGGGGCTGTGTGCAGGCTGGCCTGGAGCAGCAGGCAGGGCAGGCAGCGGGGAAGGACACTCCACCAGCGTGGGGGCTTCCAAACTCTGGGCTCGGGGGCAGCTTCGCGGTGCCCGCCTGCCTCACCCCGGGCTTCCCTCTCTTCCAGTTCCGTAACTGCATGATCACAACCCTGTGCTGCGGCAAGAACCCGCTGGGCGACGAGGACACGTCTGCGGGCAAGACAGACACCTCCTCCGTCTCCACCAGCCAGGTCTCCCCCGCGTAGGCTCCGCGGCGCTGCCGGTCCTCGGGGTGCGCGTCGCCGCCTCGGGAGCACGAACCTGCCCCCGCCACCGCCCGTCCCCGCTGCACCGCTGCGGGCCCTGCGGGTGGGCTCCTCTCTCCTGCACTAGGAACCCTGGGCACAAGGCTGTAAATGTGTACACACGTTTTGTAATTAAAATGCAAAGGCTTTAGCTCCGCTGCCGTAAATCCGCCTTTCTGTTCACTCGCTGAGCGCTCGCGCCCTGCTCCGGGGGCAGACCCCGGCTCCGACGCCTGCGGTGCACGGCCCGAGCTGCCCTCGCCTCCCCGGTCCCACCGTGACGGCCCGGCCGGTGCTGCCCAGCCGCTCGGCCCCGCTGCCCGCGGCAGGTTCGGCTGCTGCGAGGTGCCCCCAGCCCTGCCCGGTGCTCCCCGCTCCAGCCCTGCCCCACCTCCAGCACGGCAGGAGCCCTGCGAGGCTCCGTCACCCCGCAGCCGGGACAGGGCACGGTGCGGTGCAATCGGGCCCCTCCATGCCGCAGAGGTGATGGCTGAGGATCCTGCCCAGCAAGCGGGCAGCACGGAGGGGTCCTGCCGGCACAGTACAGCCGGGCACAGCATAGCACGGCACGGCACGGCACAGCCACGTGTGTCTGCAGCCAGATGTGCCCGGGAGGGCTCTGTGCTTGCTCCTGCCGGCGCCCCGCGCAGCCAACGCGCCCGGTGTCGGCACCCTGGGCACATCCCTGCTGGGTGTCCCCAGCAGAGCCCTCCCCTGGTCCCACCGCTCCTCCGCGGGCACCCTGGCCCGCGCCACGCTCCTCCCGCTCCGCCGCGATCAGTTTGGCACCAGCCCAAGTAGGAGGTTTTGGGCAGTGCTTGTGCTTTTGAGGATCCACGGGCGCGTCGCTAAGCTTCCCTCCGCGCTGTAGCAGCAAGACATGGGAGCATATGGCTCAGAGATGTCGACATATGTTTTGAGCACTACAAGATGGCATTCTGCAATTGTAGCAGTGTTCTTCATTTTTATTTTTAGCTCAGTTATACAAATAAGATGTTTTTCTCGCTGTTCAGTGTTATCAACATTTGAAACTATTTTTGTACATTATTATCCTCTCTGATTTCTAATCCTATGCAGCTTTGCAAGGTCTAATACGGAACATATAGAGCCCATGCAAGTTAAACCTTTAATAAAGAGCAATTTGCAAGTACAATTCTCTCATTATTTTTTTTTATCGATACTTCTGCATATTCAGTGAAATCTAAAGATTAGAGGTTTATGAATAATTCAGTGTTTAGGCTGATGTCTGATTCATGTACCTCAAATCTGGGAGCTGGTTTTGGAGGGAAGAGGAGGAAGGATTGGGTGTTTGTTTGCTGTCCATGAGGCAATGCTGGCACCTTGGCTTTCTCACTGCCACAGGACCAGCCCCAGCACATGGCCCGGCTCCAGGCCTGTGGGTTATCGCGCCACACCATGCCCAGCCCTATGGCTGCTGCTGCTGCTGCTGCTGCTGCTGGCAGGGGCAAGCTAGGGTTTGGAATCCCCCTGTCAGCCCAAGCCAGTGCTGGAAACATCATGGAGCTGCCAGAGAGGTGGTGGCCAGATGCAGGAGGAGGAGAGGGTTGGGGATGCTCCCAGCCCTGCATGGCACCAGCCCCTGCAGCCCTCCTGTGTCCCCACCAGCCCCTTCCTGGGAAATTTGGAAATGGACTGGAAATGAAGCAGCAAACGTGCTGGACAGGGGAGCTGTGCCCTGGGTGCCTCTCCCAGCTCCTTGCTCCCACTGGCACTTCAGTCCCCTGCCAGGATCTGGTCGCTGCGCTCAGCGGGTGGGTGAAGACCTTGGCAAAGGTCCTTCTGGGCAGTGCTTTGCATGTACGTTTGCACAGTAACACGTCCACAAGGCGGGCCATGACCAAGCCAGTGTCACCTAATCCCAGCTTGCAGCTCTGCCCCATGATGAGGATGGAAGCCCCGTGACTCTTGCGTAAAGAAGGGACTGACGCGGCGCTGTGAAGGACCACAGCGGTCCCCAAGGTGGGGACATGGGCACTGTTCCTGCACCGAAGTGCAATTGGTGAATTACTCAGGCTCACCTTGAGAGCACCACAAGTATCCTGCCCCACTGGAACAGCAGGGAAAGTGTCCATGGGATCACAGGACAACTTCTTTTCAATGTTGCCATGACACAGAAGTGCCCTGGGTCCCTTGGGGACCCTGAACAGCCAAGGGCTCAGCTCATACCTGGCCCATGTTGTCTGTGGCTGCGGGTGGCTGCTGTGCCAGGAGCCGGCATGGAGGGAATGTGGAGGGACATGGAGGGGCTGGCCCTCTGTGGGGCTTAGAGTGCTCTCCCCTAAGCACAATGGGATTTGGCAGCCAAAGGCAAGTGAGGTGCTGGTGGTGAGCGCACCCCTGCCTGGGGCTCTGTGCAGGCGTTGCTCCTCCTGCATTCACTGGCCAGCAAAGCAACTCGCTGTTTTCCTCCTCTCATCTGTGGGACTGTTTCCCCCGTCCCCTGTTCTCAGGCTCCCCGGCAGTGCAGCACCCTGCTTCCCCAGGTGAAGGGAGCCAGCACATCACAGCAGCGCACTGGGAACAGGTCCTGCATGGGACCCAGCTGCTTCCCCATTCACCCCACAGTGAGTGCCATCAGCAAGCTCCAATCCCAGCTCCTCACCACCCTCCAAGCAGCATGTAGGCCCCTTTGCCCTGTGTGCTCGGGGTCATCACCCCATGACCCTCCATCTCCTGCCCTTCCCAAACCCTCTACTCAGGCAGGGCCCTGCTCCCCTTGGCCCCTTGCAGAGCTTTGCAGAGGGCTCTCAGCCACCTGCCCACCACAGTAATTAGCAGCTCATGAACAGCACCTGCAGGCAGGGTGCTGCTCTGATAAATTAGCTGGGAGTGAACGGGGTAAGCCCCTGAGCAAGGGTAGAGGTGTTGTCAGTGGAGCTGCCTGAGAACAGGGTCTTTGGGCTGGTGTGTGCTGCCATGGAGCATCAGCTGGGTAAGGGGTTTGTAGGCTGCTGCGGGGTCCTGGTGGGGCTGGGGCTCTGCTCAGGCTCTGGTGGCTGTGAGACAGCTCCTGGGGGGCTTTGCAGCCCTCGGGGTCCAGGTCCCATGCGATGTCTCTCTCCCTGCAGACAAAGCTGCTGGCACAGCCCAGCTCCCAGGTTTACTGGCCCAGCGCCGGAGGACTCCGCACCCCTCAACCATGCAGATGATCATCGAGGCACTGCAGGCCAAGGACAGCAACAAGGGTGCCTCTGTCCCAGCCATCACGAAGTTCATCCTGGCCAAGTACCCCACCGTGGATCCCACCCGCCTCAAGTACTGGGTGAAGGTGACGCTGAGCAAGGGTCTGAGCCGTGGGGACCTGGTGCGGCCCCGCAACTCCACTGCCACAGGGGCTGCTGGCACCTTCATGGTGAGCAGGGGAATGCTGGTCCCACTGCAGTGGGGCTGAGGCTTTCATGGTGAGCAGGGGGATGCTGGCCCCACTGCAGTGGGGCTGGGGCTGCGGTGGACACCAGCCCTACTTCCACCCCTCTCTCACCCCCAGTTAGCCCCCAAGATGCTCAAGCAGAAGAAGCCGCCAGGCCAGGAGGATCCTGACACAGGAGAGCCCTCTAAGCCAGCCCAGCCTGGGGCTAGCCAGCTTGGCCGGGCCCCCGTGGCAGGCGTGCGGCAGCAAGGTAAAGGGCTGGTGGTGCCACAAGACCCTGGGGTGCCCCAGCCCCAGGAGGGGCTCCCGCCTGGGCTCATCCTCTGCCCATCCCGCAGGGGCTGTGGAGGAAAAGCTGACGGAGGCCAAGCAGAAGTCGAGGACGAAGGCCATGGAGGTGAGCATGGTGTGGGGTGTGTGTGTGTGGGGGGCTGGTGGCAGTAGCTGGAGGTGCTCTCTCCTCCCCAAGGACCCCCCACTGGCAGCAGCCAAGCCCAGGAGTGATGGAACGAAGCCCCCACGAGCTGTCGGCCGCCCTCGGGGCCCTGGCAAGGGGCGTTCAGGGCCCTCCATGGCTCCAGATGCTGAGGAGGCAGGAGGGGACAGAGGTGCCAGCTCTGTGGGCACCAGGGCAAAGCGGCCACGGAAGACCCCAGTGGGAAAGAGCAAGAGGAAGGCACCCGAGGGAGCCCAGCCAGGAGCACCGGAGGGGCCCCAGCCAGAAGGGACCAAGGTGAAGGGGACCGAAGGCAAGGTGAGGAAGCCTCGGGTGAAGACAGGAGCAGGCCAGGGGCAGGCCAGCCTGAAGAAGGCAGCGGCCCTCCCAGAGGGCAAGAAGGCCCCATAGTGTGTCCTGGACAGCCCCTCTTCCATAGGAGCCCAGCTGGGGTCAGGCCCTTGGGGTCTGTGTTGGGTTTATTCCCAGGATAGGTTTTAACTCTCTGTTAATGCCCTGTTAATAAAGTTGCTTCATTCCCATCATAGTGTGACTGCTGCCCTGCTCGTGGGATTCTGCTGCTGCATTCCCATCTCCTGGCCTCATCCCATGTGGCACTGTGCTGCCTGCTCTCCATGTCCCCTGCTCTGGGCTGCAGCGCCAGGGAGCGTTGGGTGCTGTGTGTGTGCAGGCTGGTGGTGAGCCCCATGGTGGGTAAAGCCCTATGTGGGGGCCCTGGGACCCACAGGACACAGCACAGCGGCACCTGGGGCACTGTGGTGCTCAGGCATGGCCATGGTGGGTGCCCAGCTCTCTGTCCTCCTGCCTGCCCTTGTGCTAATGCCTGGCTGAGCTGGGATTACAGGAGTGCAGCAGGTCCAGGTCCATGCCATGGGCAAGGGTCCCCAGTATGGGGGCAGCTGCTGGTGCTCTAACCATGGTATGAGGAAGGTAGAAGTGGTTTAGGGCTCAAAAAAAAAGGAGTTTGGGATGTCTGCTGAGGACTGCAGCATTGCTTGTGCTCTTGTTACCTATCTGTGGCACAGTTCCCACCTCTAAACCTGTCTTACTGACTCCTGAAGATCAACATAGCAGCATTTTCATTTAATAGCTTCAAGTGCCTGAATTTCTCTTGCCCTGCATGAAGCAGAGCCTTTCTGAAGGTCAGCCTGATAATGAAAAGGGTTATAGTCCTCCTGGGCAGGAGTAAATCAGTGCAAGTAAAACTCTCTTCCTAAAGAGGATTTTGCTAATCTTCAGCTGGCCTTGCCAATGCCCTCCAAGGCTCCTGGCCTTGCTCTGGGGCTTAAGCAAGAGCTGAGCAAACTAACTTCTCTTTAAACTTCAGCCTTGGCCGTGTTGATCCGTCTTTAATGGAGCTGAAACTCTCATCGTGCCTGGGGCAGGGGGGAAGATGCTGCAGCAGTAATGGAGCAGAGCTCCCCTGCCCCTCTGGTGTGGGTCAGCCTCGCCAGGCACTGCTCCCTGCATGGAAACGTCCCGTAAGGGAGCTGTGTCTACTCACCAGGCTCTTGGTGTGAAACACCAGGTGCTTGCTTTGGCAGAGGCCAAACCATTTAATGGCTGGATTTAGCTTCAGCTTTAGCTTCAAGAATCAGCTTTCTAGTGGGAAAGGAAAATCCCTCTGGTGTCTGGAAAGAGCAGCTTTTACTGGGGGAGGTGGAAAAGAGAGGATTTGGAAATACCACAGTTATTAGGACCTATGGGGTGGTGTCATGGTGCTGAACCTAGAAACTTTGAGGGGTGGTGCTGGTGCAGAACAGGCACCTGGGCTCCCTGGGGCTGCGAAAAGGCACAGTCTTGAGGGCTGACAGCACTTGACAGAGCTGAGGGTGCCTGGCCCTGGGCACTGCTGCGGTGTCACTGGGCTCTGTGTGTGTGGTCATGGGCACTGCTGCGGTGTCACTGGGCTCTGTGTGCGTGGTCATGGGCGCTGCTGCTGGGCTCTGTGTGCGTGGTCATGGGCACTGCTGGCTCTTGTGTGCGTGGTCATGGGCACTGCTGCGGTGTCACTGGGCTCTGTGTGCGTGGTCATGGGCACTGCTGCGGTGTCACTGGGCTCTGTGCATGGTCATGGGCACTGCTGCGGTGTCACTGGGCTCTGTGTGCGTGGTCATGGGCACTGCTGCGGTGTCACTGGGCTCTGTGTGCGTGGTCATGGGCAGTGCTGTGGTGTCACTGGGCTCTGTGTGAGTGGTCATGGGCACTGCTGCGGTGTCACTGGGCTCTGTGTGCGTGGTCATGGGCACTGCTGCGGTGTCACTGGGCTCTGTGTGCGTGGTCATGGGCACTGCTGCGGTGTCACTGGGCTCTGTGTGCGTGGTCATGGGCGCTGCTGCGGTGTCACTGGGCTCTGTGTGCGTGGTCATGGGCACTGCTGCGGTGTCGCTGGGCTCTGTGTGCGTGGTCATGGGCACTGCTGCGGTGTCACTGGGCTCTGTGTGCGTGGTCATGGGCAGTGCTGCGGTGTCACTGGGCTCTGTGCGTGGTCATGGGCACTGCTGTGGTGTCACTGGGCTCTGTGTGCGTGGTCATGGGCACTGCTGTGGTGTCACTGGGCTCTGTGTGCGTGGTCATGGGCAGTGCTGCGGTGTCACTGGGCTCTGTGTGTGTGGTCATGGGCGCTGCTGCGGTGTCACTGGGCTCTGTGTGCGTGGTCATGGGCACTGCTGCGGTGTCACTGGGCTCTGTGCGTGGTCATGGGCACTGCTGCGGTGTCACTGGGCTCTTTGTGCGTGGTCATGGGCAGTGCTGCGGTGTCACTGGGCTCTGTGTGTGTGGTCATGGGCGCTGCTGCGGTGTCACTGGGCTCTGTGTGCGTGGTCATGGGCACTGCTGCGGTGTCACTGGGCTCTGTGTGCGTGGTCATGGGCACTGCTGTGGTGCTACTGGGCTCTGTGTGAGTTCAGGTGTCGGCTGTGTCCTTACGTGGCTCTCCGTGTTCTGGTGGGAGCTGAGGCACTGGGCAGCAGGAGCTGCAATGTGCTCTGCAGGCAGTCACAGGGCTCTGCAGGGCAGAGGGGCTAAACCCTACCTCTTGTGGAAGCCAGCTGGTTATCAGTTTGCACGGTACATCTTGGACATGCAAAGCTCACTGCACACACCCCGGCGGGTGTCTTCCCCAATGTTGTATATCCTCTGCATGCCCAGGGGCAGGAACATCACTAGGCAGGTTTCAGCACCTTGTTTTATTACAAAGATAGGCTTTTCCAAGAGCCTGCCACTTCCACTACACAGCAGGTAAGGGCACTACACCCACAACACGTGCCAAAGTTTAAAAACATGTTACAAAGGGCTCAGGGTTCAAGGCAACACTACAAACCCTCAAGCTTCTGCCCTGGAAAAGTTGTTCCTTTACATTGGTTGTAGCAACTACTTTTTCCTATTTTTTTTTTCTTTTTTTTTTTTGCTTTGGAAAAAAATTAAATAATAAAGCAATAGCCCCAGCACACGGCCCGCTCACATCACCCGGAGGCAAACCACACTGTCAGCTCCCCTGTATCCTGTCCTTGCAACAGCATGGGGCTATCGCTCCATGACCCCTTCCCCACCTGCAGCCAAGCTCAACGTTCTCTGCTACCCTGGTGCTCCTGGCCCTCCCCTCCCCCGGTGCTGGGCCTGCCTGTGTCTCTGGCAGCTATTCACAGTTTCTAAAAGGAAAATAAATTCAAGGTTTGTTTGTTTGTTTTTTTTTTTTCTGTGTGAAATCACTTTCAAAATAAAATGTAGCCCAGCTACATTCTTAGAGTTTCTATTCTGAAGCCACATCCTCAGCAAAGACATCGAAACCTCCACAGTGTATGCACTTTTTCTGTAGTTCTCTTAAAAAAACCTCTGTTCTCCCCCTTCCCCCCCCCTCCCCCCTTTAGCATACTGAATAAAGTCTATCCTTTGTTTTAAAATAGATATCTATATACACACACACAGTTCTGGTGTTCCAATTCCTGACAACTGTGCCATTACTGGGAGTGATGGGATAGAGGCCACCTGTCCATGGCAGTGAGTCACCCAGGAGGAGTTTGGTGGACCAAAGTCATCTAAGACCAGGTTGCATCCTCGCCAGCTGATGGGTAGCGGAGGCTCACCTTAGACTCTGCCTGGAGTGAGGTAGTAACTTTAAATGTTCTATTTGGCAGTTTGGAAACGCGGTGGCTACGTCTGGGTTATCTTTCATGGGCAGGTTGCCTCTGCCTGCATGCAAACGCTGGCTTCATGTGGCGTTTGCTGTGGTCCAGCCTCTACCGTGGGGCCTCTGCAACGCTGGAGGAGACCAGAGAGGTCACTGCTCCCCTGGCTGCAGAAAAGATGGTGTTACCTGCAGGAAGGAGAACGGGCCACCAAGATGGGGGCTCTGCCCCGGCGCGGGTGCTGCAGGACAGCAGTGAAGTGTCTGGGTTTTGGACAAGCTCTGTCTGCTCAGTGGGACCCTGCCTGCTGGCCCCAGTATAAGTGTGGGTCACCTTCCACCTTTGTTTGCAGTGTGGGGTGCTGGAGCTGCTGTGCTGCCCTCCTGAGCATCATGCTGTCAGGGATGCGGTCCAGTCCATTTACCTTTATCAGCCAAAAAAAAGACTGGACACGAAGCAGAACTGCACTGTCTTTGCTGCTCTCAGATCTCAGCCATGGCTGGCTGGCTCTGAAGCAAGCAGAACAAGCTGCTTCAGGAAGACACCTCAGTAGCACTGACCAGGGATGATCGCAGGGAGATGCTGGAGCACATGGGGCAGAGGGGGGAAGGTGCTACCTTGTATTCTGCCCTGTGTGTGGCTCAAGCCCACTCACGGAGGGTGTCAGCAGGAGCTGACCCCTTTTGTCGTGATACTACCCAGCTCTAGCTCACTGTGCACGCAGGTCGGGGAACCTGGGGAAGGGGGAACAGCCCTTCCGACACTGTCTAAACATGGAACATGCTCCATAACAGCTGTCTCCATTAGGGGATAAAGTGCTTTCACCATGCCCCAGCTACTTGGGAAGCAGCTGCTTTGTCTTAGTCCCGAGTTCCCCATGTTGCCCAAGTCTCCAATGGAGGAGTGGTTATGTTTACACATACAGTACAAAAATTAAAAGGCACAAAAATACACAGAATGCAGCAGATAGTGATCAGCTGACAGAGTCCCTGGTGATGGCAAAACAAGGATGTCGGAGGGATGGTGTAGTAGGGAGCGCAGGCGTTGCTCTGATGGCCTTTGCTGTCTCTGCTCCCTGAGGTTACCCTTCTGCTTTGTGTAATTGTTATGGCTTCTGCAGCCCCATCTCTGTCCTGAGGAACCACAAACAGGGATGCAGGGAACCGCTGACCGTTCAGGTGCTGATCAGAGGAAAATGGTGAACTGAGCTTGCCACAAGGGTCACGTCTCCATTTCTGGCTGGCAACAGCAAATAAATCATGGGTGCCACAGTGCAGACCAGAGGGGGTTTGAGCTGCTCGGAAAGGTGTCTCGTGGCTTCTTGTTGGGTGAGGAGCCCTTCAGCCGTGGGCCAGGCCCACCCCCATTGCAAGGCTGGTTTGAGAATGGCCCTTACGGAGGCGATCCACAGCGTATCCGCGGCTGAAGGCAGGTTCCCTACGGCACTGCGCTGCGGAGAAGGTCACTTCCAGGGCTGCAGTTGGCCTAGGCTTCGCTGCAGCACTCATAGATGTTATCTTCCATGAGCGCAATCACTTGCTCAAACTTGTGCTGGAGCTGGGTGCGCTTTGTTGTGGGGTTGGTGTCTAGGGCAGCCACGATCTGCAGGAGACACGGACAGGAGGGTGCTGAGACCATGTGGGCAGAACCTGCAGAACCCCAGTGCCAGCTGGACCCCGAATGAGAAGAGCCCACAGCCCCGGCACCCTCTGGCTCTCTAGGGCAGAGCCGAGTCCCTGAGCAAGGGGTGGGAGAGAAAATCCACTGTGACAGTAAAGCCCATGGTGTGGAGCCAGCCCGCGGTGCAGGGGGTCAGGAGCAGCCAGGGCCGGGGATGGGAAGTTATTCAAGTGTGGACTGCATCAGCATGCTGTGCCCTCCAGAAAGCATCTGCGAGTCTACACATCAGGACCCTGCTGCAGTCCAGCCCAGGCACACGCTGTTAAACCAGCCAGGAATAGCTGGATTTCTCTTTCAGGAAGGTGTCAGCCAAAGGCTAGGAGGCAGGTGCATCTGTGTGTGCATGGGATTATGCCAGAAACAGTAATCCCTTTGCAGTGGGGCTGGATGCAGGCGTCTGGCCACTTGGTTAACACACACCACTTTGGTGGTCCCTCCACGGGTACACCGGGGCCGAGTGTGGCTGAACCTGCTTACCTGGGAGCGGTAGCGCTTGGCGTATTTGTAGATCTCGGCCATGGCGACGTTGGTGTTGAATTCATTTCGGTATTTCTTTATAAAGACAGAACAAAGAGGGGAGGAGCATTAATGTGATGCAGCAAGTGAGTTCAAGCCCCATCAGCAGGCATTAGCTAAATTCAAAGAAGGTTTTTGTCTGGGTATTTTTGTTGCATTGATGTAACCAGACTTTTGATTTACCCCTTTAGGGAAATGCATTTCCTCACATCAGAAATGATCTCAGTCTTTCTAAAGCCAGCGTTAGAGCCCACGCTCCACAGCTCAGTTTACCTGTCTGTGCCCAAAGCCATTTCAACGGGTAGGGCAGCACAACAGCCGGGCAGAGGAATGCCAAGGGGGAAACCTGCTCGGTGCCTGAGGCTGAAGTGCCACAGGAGATGGATTGATTCCAAGGAAGCCATAGCCCATCGCTGGCAGGCCGTGGATATGGAGCACGCTGCCGGCATTCCGCATGCGGATGCTGCCAGCAGGGCCCTGGGACTGTGCCGGCCCTGGCAGTTGGTGCCTGTGGGCAGCTGGCTGGGGCTGTGGGACTGCAGGGATCCTGTTCCAAGCTTCCTGACTCTCTGGCACTGAATTTTGCTCTCAGCTCCCAGTGGTGCCAAAGCTAGTTCAGTTCAAGCTAACTCGTGGGTGTTTACTGCAGCTCTGGCAGTAACTGAAGATGCTTGGAATTAGGTCAGATGAAGTTTGTGCATGGAAGTTTGAGGCAAAATACTCTTTGTTGCTTGCTCCTTGCAGCACTTAAGCAGTCGCTGGAGGCAGCCTGCGCGCCCCATGCCTTACCCGCGACTCCTCGGCCAGGTGAGCGTTCATCTCCTGCTCGCTGAGCGGCGGCATGTCGTGGATTTGCTTGTAGTATCGCTGCACTATCTTCCTGTACTCGGGGATCTCCTTGGCATACAGCAGTTTATTGGTCGGGGAGTCCTAGTGCAAGGGCGAGATACTGAAATCAGACACTGTGTTGTTCCTGGCTGAACACTTCCTATCCTGTTTGTCTGGCTCATCGGATGCGGACTTCAGCTACAGCTGCTTTCAGGAAACAGCTACGTCTTTGGTCCTGGCTTTACACAGGCAGGAGTGTGGTGGGATGGCACCAAAGCACAACACAGCTAATGACAGAGGCGCTTCCTCAAACACATCAAGGTGTTGCAGACAGGTACCCCCAACCCGTGGAGCCACAGCACTGTCCCCCAGCCCTTCTTCCTAGCATGAGCTCGGCGTTTGTTAGCTGTACTGCCAGTGAAGGTGGTCTATGTGATGATGTTTTAATTGGCAGAAAGGGCAAGCTAAAAAGTATGCACAAGGTCAGGCGGGATGGCCTGCTGCCAGGTAATGTTCTGCAGATGAGTGCAGCACAACTGTGTTAGATAAAACACTTGTGCTCTGTGGCTCTGCCTGTGGAAATTGGTAACAAGGGAAGGGTTTCTGCATGCATTTACCAGGTCTCTTGAGCAGCCAGGCCAGCTTGATGTAAACTGAAGAACAAAGCTCTCTTACAAGCTGAACTTTGTCAGTTGAAATGTTGCTCTTGGATTTTTCATGTAGCTTTGATTTATTTTGCATTGGCTAACCCAGCCTGCCTGGCCTATATTGAGTGCACATAAAGTAATTAACAGCAAATACTGAGTTCTCCTGATTAATGTCAGCTTGGACAAAGCAGTCTTAACCTCCCAGCCACACAATTGGGTTGTACCAGTGAAGGCACAACCCCTCTTGTGCTCCCCTCAGCCACGAGCGTGAATGATTTTAACCTCAATGCAATCCTGCCCCGCTGACGTCACTACCCTGGAATGAACTTGGCTGACTGGCCCAGTGCTGCATCCCAAAGGGAAACAGCCCCTGGCTCAGGGGCACAGAAGGGAGTGAGATCACCGTGTCCCACTGCCCTGACATGGGATGCGGGACTGCTCCCGATGCTCTGGCAGGTGGAGAGGGGAGGGAGGACCTTGGGAGGAGACAAGCTCGGCAGAGGAGGCAGCATTTCAGCTGTATCGGGCAGTAAATAAGGAAGCCCGGGGTAACTGCAATCTGCTGCCGCAATATGTAGCTTGGCTGATGCTGCAGGGGAAATGGGAAATGGGCACCAGGCTGTGGCACCAGATCCCACAGCAGTTTATTTTCAAACCCAATGACAAGGCAATGCAGGAATACAGCCAAGCTACAGAGCCTGCTCGCTACATAGTTCTTTTTCTTCCCCTTGGAAACACAAAAAATCCCCCCATGCTGCCTCTTGTTTAAGTTAGTTTTTAATTTGTGTCTGATTCGTCTGCATTATGGAGATGTGTACTGGTTTGTTAACTGCTTGTGCACTGTAGATGTGTGAGTCCGAGCCTGCTCTCACATTTGCAGTATCAAGAGCAACATGCTGAACCCAGGGGAAGAATCCAGCCTGGAAAGCATTCAGCGGTACACTGCGTGTGTATGCGAGCTGATTTTTATGCTGAGGATTTATTCTTCCCACATTACTCAACAATTCCTTCAGTTATGCTATTGTATCCCTGAAAACTGTTTCCATCTGCTGTCTGACTCGGGCTGACCCCTCTTCCCCTCACCCACGGCCTGACAAGGACAAATTGGAGGTGTTTCGTAACCCACCAGAAAAAAACCCCAAACCCAAACAAAGAAAGAATCAAGCGCTCATTAGATCTTCCTGCAGCGTCAGCCCGGAGCGAAGGCTTCCTGCTGCCCTCAGCAGCGCCTGCCTCCTGCCCCCCCTCTGTAGGGTCCCCTCGACGTCACACCCTGCACCGCCGGCCCCTGGGGGGGCACGGGGGGATGTACAGCACTTCCTAATAAAACTTATTTATGTCAGGAAGTTTCAAACGTCAACACCGCGCTTGGCTGAGCCGGTGGGAGAGCAGTGGGAGAGCAGAACATCCCACACAGGATGGTGCATGGGATCCCGGTGGTGGGAGAGGAGACCTGGCCCGTGCAGCCTCGCATGTGCTCAGGGCAGGTTTGGCTTCCTAGAGCCAGCCCGCTGGGCTCTGCCAGCCTGGGGTGGGCAGCGTGGGATGGAGACAGCAGTGCCTGCCAAGTGCTTCCCAGTGCTGATGCATGGTGTGAACTAAAGTGGAGTGAGAGGGAGAACCCACCCCTGGAGACAGCCAAAACTCAACTGCACGAACCTGAGCAAGGGTCTCTCTACCATCCCTACTGCTGCGGGAGGCTGAGCTGGGAGACCCGACAGTCCCTTCCCACCCGCACTGGTGTGTGTCCTGCCTGCCCGCACAGGAGCCACACGTGCTCTCGGGACAGTACCTTGCCCAGCTGCAGGTCGGACAGGGAGCAGGCATCAATGAAAGCCTGGGCTATCACAGAGAGACAGGCATCGATGTGGTCTGTCTTGTCAATGTCGAAGACGAACTGGGGGTTCTTCAGGATGTTGACCCAAAACCTCAGAGGTAGGCTGCGGAGGAAACAAGTCAGGAACACACCAGGTGAATAGTTGTCCTCCAGAGGGAGAGGGGAGGAAATGCAGGAAAGATGATGATCGAAAGTGAATAGCAAAGAGAAAAAAGAATGAGGAGCTGGGTTCTGCTATTTAATCACATCCTGGTAGCATATGGCCCATTGCCTAACATGAGGGGCAGGCACAGGTCTTCTCCCTCAAGAGACATCTCTTCAGGCTGAAGCACGTGGCACAGGAAGGAACCTCCAAGTTCAGGCTGTGCAGGGGTGCACAGCACCTCATTCCTTCAGCAGCTGTTGGTGCCCAGGCAGGGTATGGGCAGGTTTGCCTTCACAGGGCTGCTGGAGCAGGTTTCCCCACTCCCTGATTTCTGTAGCAATGGTGTCAGCTCCTTTCAGTCTTCCCTGAGAGTAACCATCACCTGGTTCTGATGGCAAGCCTTGCCCACAAAACGCATTTCATGTGCCTCTTTTTCTGCTGACCCATAATTTTCTCCTCCAACTATTTCACAGCTCACTTGGCCACAGTTTCAGGGTACTGTTTGCCCTTCCTATCATTCCTCTTCAGCAGCTGAGGAGTGAAAGCCACTGTAAGTCTCTGCTCTCCTGGCAACTAAAGGTAATGAAGGGCAGGCAAAGCTGTAGCTCGGTGCTTGTGCCTGTGTGCCTGCTATCCCAGCCAGACTTGGTTTTAATGTTCACGTTAGGCTGGAAACAGTCACTGTCCCTGCAGCCCCAGAGGCACTTAGCCTCTCCGGACACTCCCTCCAGGCTCCCAGCTCTTCCAGTTAAATCTTCTGGTTTCCTCCTGCTCCAATCCCCCTCCCCTTCGGGTCCCCCATCCCATTCCTGGTGCTCATCACATCCCTCAGCACTGCTCCCGGCTGCAGAGCTCCAGCATGCTACTGCCACAGCGCAAGTGCCCGTGAATGCCCTGGGGTCTCAGCTTGGTTACAGAGACAAAGATGCCCCGAGGGCTGAAGAGCCAGAGAGTAAATGAAAAGGAGCCAAACCTGCTGGTTTTAGAATCTCCATGTGCTTTAAGGCCTGACGTGGTTTTGTCTCAGATCTCCACTGCTCAGAGCTAACACCAGTGCTGTCTCCCATTGTTCATTCCCTCTCCTGTTTTCCCTTTAATTGTTTGTATTAGTGTGCCAGTTTTCCCTTTAGTTGCCTATGCCTCCTCTTCCAGATCACTTTTCCCCTGAGCTCTGTGGTCAAAGCTCTCCAAGCCTGTGTTTGGCCTCATCTTTCACCACCCCCTCCGCCCCCCTCCTGCTTTCCAAGTCCCTCTTCTACTTTTAGCAACCTAGTGATTAGGACACCAAGGCTTTGTAGCTGCTGCTCTGGAGAGATGGAAGGAAGGAAGGAAGGAAGGAAGGAAAGAAAGAAGAGATTTCCTCCTCCAAACCTGTTGGTCTTCCAGATGTGCATAGTGTCAGGGTCTGTGATCCCTCTTTTCTCTGCTTGCTCCTCTAGGAAGTCAAAGAAGTACTTCACAGCCACTGGTGGTTTATCGTCTCGGATGCTCAGAATGGCTTTGAACAAGTCATCCAGGAACTTCTGCAGCGTGCCCTGCGGGACAAGCACCCTATGGAGCCTGGGGAAAGCACCAGAGCCCAGGAAGCAGCAGGAGGGGCTGCGACTGCTGCGCACAAGGGGAAATCCTTTTCTCATTTATCCAACTGGCAGCAGGGAAAGAGGATTCCGAAGGAGGGAGGGAAAGGTTTATTTGTGCATAGCGATATAATTAGCTTGCATTTGGGTTTAATTTCTTTTGGCATCGAGATTTTCTTTCTTACTGCTAGGATCTCACATCTGCGATTGTTCTGCACAGTAAATACAAAGAAGACTAGAGACTGCTGGCCATTCTTGTGATCTCTGCTCCAGTGAAGCATCATGCTGGGATTAAAGATGGGCTGGGAGCCCAACTGTTGGAGCTGAGCACTCGCAGAGAGGGGGAAGTTCAAATCTGAATTAAGATCGCACAGACATTCCCCTGCTCCCAAAGCTGAGCATCTCCATCTCCTTCCCCAGCAGGATTCCTCACTGCGGAAAGGGGCTCAGACCTAAACAGCGCATCACGAGCCTGGAAGCGGTCAGCATCCCTTCCATGTGCACAGACCCCAGACCAGCCTGGGGAGGTCATGTGGGGCTTCCCACAGTACTGCTGCTCTGAGGATGAGCTGGAAAGCTGGAGGGAGCTCAAGGAGCCAGCAGTGCCTGGCAGCCCCACTGACCATGCTCCAGCATCCACTGCCCCTGTGGAGCAACCAGCCCCACTGCACTCCCTCCCTAGAGCAGGCCTCTCGCTTCAAACAGACTGAGCAAGGGCATCCATCTCCTACCTTTGTGGAGAGCAGCCTGGTCAGGTAGATCTCGGGGAGGACTTTCTTCCTATGGCTCTGCCTGTGGGACTTCTTATGTTCAACCGACTCATCAGTTGGGAGAACCTGGTCCGATATAAAACACATATTCAGAGTGCTCCTCTGTGGAAGTGTCACACTGGATTTTCATTTAAGTATAGAATTTCAACTACATATAAAATTCAATTAAGAAGCAGTTACTGTGTTGTAAATATACCCTTATATGGCTTTAAAAAAGTGATCCATTATACCCCTTTTTCTGATGTTCCTCTTGCACTTTTTATTGCCTCGCTCAAGCTAGACAAAGAAAATGAAACAATCAATCTCACTTTGCACGTTAGTCTGCTGGCCTTCCTGCTCCCAGGTCGCTGCAGTTTGGGCTCCCAGAAGCAATGCACAAGGCTTCTGCAGAAAGCAGCTTTTCTTAGGTTTGGGAAAAGCGCAAGAACCATCAGGCAGTATTCCCACCCTCGCCTTTTTGAAAACAAAACCAAATATTCCACTGGGCAGGTCAGTCAGTTACTGCTCTGTAATGACCTAGCAAGCCATTTAAGGCCATCTTGGCATCGTTTCACATGTGCACATTTGGTTTCCCTTTCCTTCTCCCCCCTTGCTGAGTGCACATGTGTGTGCATGCGCTGTATATTTGCACTCCATCCCAGCATGGAAACTTTGGCAGCAAAAAAAAACCCATCAGGCTATGAGGTATTGCTCTCCATAACACTTTTTGCACAGCAGCTTTTAGCATCGTTCAGCACTTGGTCCTTCAGCACGGAGCACAGCCAGGAACTCATCAATCTCCCGGCCCGGGGAAGCCAGTGCCGTGCCAGGGGCTCCCAGTAGATGCTTTGACCAGGGCTGTGTGGGATGCTACTGGCAGCTCCAGAGCTCTCGGTGGCTGTTGACAGCTACAGCACAGGCACAACACCGGTTGTGCTGTCATGGTGGTTTTTATTCTGTCCCATAGTTCTGAAGCTTGTCTACAGATAACCTTTCTGCACCTCTTTGAGCCCCTCTAAAGAAAACTAACAAGCCCTGATCCAGCTTGTTCCTCACATCTGATGTTCCAGCCCACAGAGATGAATTGTGTTAATATCAGTGAGGCTGAGAGGATTTTCTCCTCTTTCATCACATATGCTGAAAAAAACAGGACCCACAGACTTAAGTGCAGGAGAGCCTGACTGGTCACCTCTTTGCCCCCAACACTTCCCAGGCTGCTGCCTTCCAGGGGGACATCTCCCCAGCAGCCAGCCTGGCAGCAGAGGACAACCTCTCTACTCACCAAATGGAAGTATTTCTCCGTGTCCAGATCCTTCACTGTGAAGAAGAGAGAAACAAAGCAGCTCAGCCAAGGGCACCAAAGCTTAAATGCGCTTCCACAGATACCCTCTGCATCAGGAGGTGTTTCCCTATTCCCAAGAGCCCCAGCACTGAGCTGGCATTCCCACCCCAAGTGAGTTCAGCATTTTTCTTTGGTTTGGGGTTGTTTATTGCCTTCTGAGGCACGTGGCGAGTACCTCGGGAAGTCCTTTGAGGAGGACTTGAGGTCTTCCACGGGGTGTTTTAAGAGGGATGCAGGAGGGCACAAGAGCAGGATGAGCACAGGGGCATGCCTGCATCATCCTTCCCTGCGATGCCCCACTGCACCCCACAGTGCCCCACAACCCCATGTGTCCGGGACTGTCTCCCAGCCTTGGCAACAGGGCAGCTCCAGCCTGAGCAGCTCCTCGCTCTAGTGAGGTTCCACTGCAGGGATGGGCTCTGTGCAGGTGGCCTGGAGGTGGGGGTCAAAACTCCTTGTTCATGTGATGTTTTGTCTCCCATGGTCCAGGCAAGGACCCAGCTCTCAGCACCCCTGGCCAGAGACAACCCTCCTCTAAAGCTACAAGTGTTCCTGCCTGGTCAGCAGCAACAGGGGAAGAGCAGTGAGACATTACCTCTGCTCAGTGTAGTGTCCTTCTTGTCCGACAAACTCATGGCCAGTGATGCCCCTTCAGGGATCTGCAGAGGAAGGGAAGTGCAGATGTTGATGATGGGGCCTTAATGGTGCCTCGCAGGGAGCTGGGTACTGCCCCAGGGAGATTTTCAGAGTTGGGGGACACTGGTTCAGCTCCTGCTCTGCAACAAACACCCTTGTGCCTACCCTGGCCCTTCCCCCAAGATATATCTTTGGATGTTGACACCAAGTAGCTCAGGACGAGGGAGTGCGATGCTGTGCAGATGCTGTTTGCTTCTCACTCAAAGGGCAGAAGGAACCTGGTGCTGCCAGGACCCATGGGCTGACAACACCTTCCAGTGCCGTGGCTCCGGCTCTGGTGCAGTGTGGCACCGTGCCAGCAGCAGGGCTCTGAGCGTGGCTACTACCCTGATAATCATATTAATAAGTACCCAGCTCCGGTTTGATTTTCCATGCACTGTTATAGACCAGGGAGTATTATGCTCCCAGGAGTAACGGGGAATACGGAAATCATACCCGATTTGCTGGTTTCATTTAATTTCAAAAGGAAAAATGGTCAAGAAAACAGTTTGCTTTGCCATGTTTCTGCATGTTTTTGGCCTCTGCTCCTCGATGCCTCCTTGGCCCCTGCTCTTAGGGCACACAGAGACAATTGTGCCAGTGACTTCAGTAGGAGCACAGATCAAGAGCAGAGTGGTACTAATCAGCCAAGCTGGTGGCCGCTGGGAATAGGGGCTTTTCCCCCTCCTGTTTCTGTTGTCAGGAATAACTTGTTTTGCATGAAGAGGGTTTAATTAGTTTCAGTGTGTTGCAATATTAACAAGCTTCTCGCCAGGGCAGATGTCTATTCCCTGGAAGCTCTCGTGGAGCTATGGCAACCTCCCTGCCTGCTCCTGATGATCCTGTTTTGGGAGGGGGAACCGCAGCTTGCCCCCAAGGCCAGTCAGGCCCTGCTTCCCAGCAGATTTACCTTGTAATGTGCTAGTGTGTTGAGTTTCTTCCTGCCATCCTCCACCACCGAAGTGTCATCAAGGTCCCGCAGGATGTAGCTGTCGGTGCTGGTGGCGAACCACTCTGAGCACAGAGAAGGGGGAAGTGAGACACCAGCCCAGAGGAGGCACATGCCTTTGTTTGGAAGGAGCTGGCCTCTGGGCAGACAAATGACAGGTCTGAATCTATGGCCAGACAGGAGCCCATGGGCTCAGTTATGGCTGCTTATGGAGAGACATGTATTAACAAGCCATCTCCAGGCTCAGGGGTGCTTAGAGGGTACCTGTTCTGGAGTCCAGACTACAGGCTTTAAAGGCTGCCAGTCCAAGCATCTCCCTGCTCCACTTGGGCTTTCCTAAAGCTTCTTTCCAGTTATGTGCCCTGTTATTTCTGTCCACCAGTATTGGTCCCACCACACATTCCTGAAGACCACCAACAGGAAAGGCTGCCCTGAGATCTGCTGTCCTAACTTAAACATCTGCCCTCTGGTCAGTGCTGCTTCACCCACCACCCTCAAACAGACACAAGAGGTACCATGCAGTGGCAGGTGCTTTCCCTCATTTTAAGGACTGTCTGGTCCAATGCATCTGGTTCTTACCAAGGTCGACATCTTCCACCCTTGGCCACTGGGAATAGGGGACATTCTTGCAGAAGGCCTCCAGAATCTTCTCCTTCACTTGGCTGAGCGTGTCTGTGTCCATGGCCCTGACGCTAAGGGAGTCCATGCCACAGCCTTGGAAGGAGACGTTGAGGTTCTGCAGGCAGAGGCTGAGTCAGAGGTGTCCTGCCCGGGTCTGCCAGCTCCTGAGGACGCCCGCACAGCTCCCCCTGTGCCCCACACTGCTGGAAATGGCTGAACAAATGTCACCATCCAGGCTTCACCCTCCAGAGAGGCTGAGTTACACCCCAGGGGGCTGCCGGCCCAGAGCCAAGACACGGGGACTGACACTGACACCTCCCCTGCCGCTGCCAGGCTTTACCCTGGGACAGCCCCAGCTCCTCTGCCTGTGTCCTCTGCTTCCCTGAGAGAAACCCTGCGCCGTCCTTGAGTGGTGAACGCAATCCCAGTGCCATCCTGCTGCCCGCCCAGTCAGCCCGGGGCCAGGAGCTCAGGTACCAGGAGCATTGCTTGTGCTCAGGCAGAGCTGCCTCCCAGAAGGACCCTGGTACATGTGAGAGTTATCTGCAAATGCTGCATCTCAGTATCAGCACCCCTGACTATGGGCACTGTGAATGTGCAGGTGAAGTCCAATTTTCTCCACAGCATTAATGAAGACGTCATTTCACACTCGACACTGTGCAGGTGGGTTTTGCATCAGAGGCTAGCAGCAATGCTGAGACTGTCATCGCATATCCCCTGCAGCTGCTGCCCCTTCTTTGCCAAGTGGGAAGCGGCTGCACTTCCCCTGCTCACACTCATGGAGTTACCTCTGCTGAGAGCGCCAACACCCTGCGCCTGCTGCTCACCCCCGGCTTTGCTCTGTACATTTACAGGTCAATTCATAACAGGAATCTGCAGAGGATGTGGAAGCTTGAACCTGCTCTGAGTTATGGTGATGCGCATCCGGGGTAACCTCCTGACTGCAGCAAAGCTGCTCCAGATTTATGCCAGGTAATTGAAAGCAGGATTTGACTGAGGCTCTGGAAAGGTGTCTGTTGAATCCTGTGTCAGGCACAGAAGGGACCTGGGCCCTCCACATGCACAGCCCTGGCTGCTCTGGTCCCGCAGGAGACATTCCGCAGAGCCACTCTCAGCACCGCTCCTGTGACCTGGGCAAAGCCCTCACCCTGGGTGCCAGGTCTGCAGCCACCACTTCCCCGCTGCTAGTGAAGATGCTTTTTTGCCAGGATCGATAAACCTGCTGCTTTAACTGAATATGGCAGAACAAATTTTGTCACCTCCCTCCACCATCCGTCTGAGACACTTCAGTGACCCACCAAGGGACAGACATGGAAGCACAGTCATGAGCCTTGTTCTGCAGTCGTGAGCTTAGGCAGTGGCAAGGTGCCTGGCAGGGATATGGTTTATGTGTCTATCCCACCTGCATGGGTACCACACTGGCCTCATGCATAATTGCCCCCATCAGAACCAGGTCTAGGAACTCACCCTTGGCTTTGCCTCGATGTTCTCCCTCAGGAGCCATTCCTCGTTCAGGGTGTACCTGGCCTTCCCAGTAATGGCGTCGATGGAGCCTTTGTTAATCTGCTGTTTGATCGCACAGATCAGCAGGAAGAAGGGCTCGCCGACTGTCTCCTGGGGGAAGGAGAGAAGACTCAGTGAGCAAATGGAGCTGGTGGTGGTGATTCCTTCCAGCAGTGTGGCCGGGACACTGACAGTGCCCCTGCACGCTGGGATAGTACTGGTCCAGCCCAGGCACTGGGAACCCATTGGTCCCCCAGCTCCCCCCAGCATCTCTCTGCAGCTGCTCAGAAGTTTTCAGACTTGTGGCAATGTGACAGCACTGATGGGGAAGAGGAGACAAGAGCCGATGAGAGCCACAGGCTGTGTTGGGGAGGGTGAACTGTGCCTGTCACATCAACATGCCCCATCCAACTGCTGCGGCTCCCTGTTAGCACCGCTGCCTCATGGGCAGAGTGCCCGGTACAGCTCAGGAGGGGGCACGTGTGTAGCTGTGTGGAGTGGGGATGTGCATGCACGGCGCTCAGCAAACACAAATGTGCATTAATTTACATGTGAAATTACACAGGAACCTCAGGGAGAATCTGGCATAGGCCGGTACAGAGATGTTTCTTGCAGTCTGACAGGACACAGACTGCACAAGGTACTGCACTCAGCAGCACAAGGATGGGGCTGATGTGCACAAAATCCAGTCCTGCAGAGATACTCGGGTGCCCAGCTTTGTCATGGAGATATCAGCAGAACCCCTCTTTGCACTCCCTGGTCTGCCACTGAAATCCATGGAAGTGAGCCCACTGTGTGTGCCTGTGGCCCTGGGAACTGGTGCTCATACTTCTCATACCACAGCAGAGCCCCGATCACAGCAAGGCAGAAAGGATCAGGGTCAACAAGCTGTTCCCATGCGACAGCAAGCAAACACACCATTTAACTCCTTACATTCATCAAACTTCATCTTACAGGAGAGAGGTGAACTGTGACACTGCTGCAAGGAAAACAAAACCAGAACAGGGACCAGCTATTTGCGATGCGGTTCAGAGACATGGTTTCATGCCAGAGTCTGATCCACTTCTGTCTGCTGTGCTGATGTGCAAGTAAAACATAAGGTATTTTCTTAAGAAACCTTTTGGTACTGGAGTACATCTCATTCTCCCCAGTGTTCATGTGCAATTTTCTTCCAATGAGGCAAGTGCAAATTATTGCACATTTATGTACTTTCTGAGCATCACACACCCTGCACAAGCATTGCTGCCATCTGAAATCATACACACAACAACAGATACCAAATGATTTGGGTATTTCTCAGCTAGGAGCTGCTAAATCCTGTTCAATCTGCTTCTTAATTAAGACAGTGATTCTTTTATTCTAATTGCCCTATAATTGCTAAAGCAATTAGTTGGATGTTAATTTGGATGTGGCTGCATTCGGCACAGTAAGCCCCTGGCAGTGTGGTAGGTGGGCACACACCATCTGTGCCAACGGGGCACCCGCTTCGTTTTCTGAGAACAACTTCTTTTATGACCACAGGGAAGCTCCTTGGGGTTTAATGGCTTCTTGCAATGCCCCTGAGCACACAGCATGAAATGGGTGCTGCAGCAGAGCTGCCAGTCTGGAAATGGAGGAAGGCATGGCTTCCAGAGAGCAGAGAAAGATGTGAAGTCACAGGCATGAGGAGGAGATAAGGAGTGGAGAAAGTGTCAGGAGACATACAGAAGAGTTAGTTTCTGGCAGAAAGGCAGGAGATAACAAGCAAGGAGATGATGACACCAGTATCCCCAAGGGGACATCCTCAGCCTGCAGTACCTGCCTTCCCCATAGTGTGAGTGGGGAGCCCTGCCAAGCTGACCCTACACAAAGAGCGCTGACAGACCCCAGAGATGACCCTGCTACCAACAGGAACGCTGCTTCTGTCCCATGTGTGTGAGCAGGCAGCAGGGACGAACCCAAGACTGAACTGAGCACCGGGTTTTGGAGCCTGCCCTGTCCCAGCGTGGGAAGCTCCAGCTCCGGCCGCAGCGAGATGTGAGGGGGCTGCCAACAGCTACGCGGCTGCCTCCAAAAACATCGTCCTGCTGATACAGGAGCTCTTCACGGCTTGAACCCAGCTCTGCTCGGGTAAAGCTGTGCGGGACGGGGCACACTGAACGTGCAGGAGCAGGAGCAGGAGCAGCCCCGGCCTGGCCAGGTGGGAAACGCTAGCGCTTGGCTGGCGAGATCCTATTTCTGCTTGGGTTTATGGCTTTCAGGCTCAGGAACTGTGGGATGTTATGGAAATGTGCAACAGTGCTAATCAGACAGCAGATTTTAAAGAGGGGAAAGAAGGGCTGGCAGACAGGGACTAGAGATAAAATGGCAAACTTGGAAACCTCCAGCATTGTTCAGAAAACTCATCTGGAAATGAATCAAAACTGTCTTTGGATTTGGCTGGTTGGGAGAAAGGAAGTTTAACTTGAAGAGATCAGTGCTGATTCAGGACAAAAAAATACTTAAAAAAACACAGTCTGGGGCCTTTTTTCCTCCTATTGTGAATGTATTTTAATGAGACTTCATTTTCATTTCTGACTGAACTGTTACGGGCTCTTAAAGCTACCCAGGGCACTGAAATAACTTTGCAGTAATGGGAAGCACAGTTCAGGCTGGCATCACTTGAACTGTTTCACGCACATGAGCGTAGGAGGGCTTGGGTTTTATATGCTTGGGAAAAAAAAGAGTTTAGAGCCCAGGCTGGATTCACATGTTGCTGCCCTATTAAAGAGGCTGACAAGTCATTAGAGATGTCCTCCCAGGAACACGAGCCATTTCCAAAGTGCCTTGGTGAGGCTGGGGTGGGAAAAGCACAGAGAACAGCTGCTTATCCCAAGTGCCTGCTAATTTGGGGGTTATTATCTGTTTGCATTCTGTGAAGAACCAAGCCTCAGCTCCATCCCACACGCGAAACTTTGGGAAGCTTGGACCCAGACCTGAATTCCAGGACGTTAATTTTCCTTCTGTTCCCAGTCCCCTGATCCTGTTAGGAGCCAGGCACAGTGGTATCACAGCATCTCATGGGAAAGGCTTTTTCTTCCAGTGTTTTCCACCAAAGCTGTAGCAGCAAGTAGAGACATAGACTGCTTTATCTCCACTTCTCACTGGCTTCTACAGAAACAGGGGTCTGCATCGGCTGTGCAGAGGCTGCAAGTTTCCTCTGACTCTGGCCCCAAAAAGCCTCCTGCTAGGTCTTCATTACATCTCCTGCCCACACTGAGCCAAAGCTCCCTGTCAGAGTGGTGACTCCATCGCCTTCAGGTGCCCTGCACATGTTCAGACCACGAGTGACTGTGGCCTGCAACTCCTTCCCAGCTGAAGACAGCTCCTTCAAATCATTCTCCCCAAAACACAAATGGACGGACTGTTAGGCAGAGCATTAATACGAAACAAATGTTTTGAGCATGTAGCGTTGACTTACAAGGGAAAATACAAGCACTTGGAATTTTTCCACTGCACAATGGCAGGGACCTTTGCAGCAGCTGTTTCAAATAGAGGTTGTGATTAATGGGGATAATTCAGGAATGAAAACCAGACCCATCGTCACACGGCTGACAGGCCAGTGCTACAGGCAGGCGGGCAGCCTTTCTTTTTAACCAAGAAAGGCCTCTCTGAAGGCAAAAGAGTTTGATCCAGAGGAACGCAAGGCACATGGGAGGCATTTGACTATTGCTAGTATTTAAATCACAGCCCTGAGCTGAAACCATCCAGATACAAGGAGGTGCCCCGGGGAGGCTGGAGCTCCTCACCACCTCTGAACTGTGCACCGTGCCCGTTGCTCCTCACCAGGACCGAGCTGCACTGAGTGCCCATTGCTCCTCACCAGGACCCAGCTGCACAGCGTGACCATTGCTCCTCACCAGGACCCAGCTGCACTGAGTGCCCATTGCTCCTCACCAGGACTGAGCTGCACAGAGTGCCTATTACTCCTCACCAGGACCCAGCTGCACAGAGTGCCCATTGCTCCTCACCAGGACCCAGCTGCACAGTGTGCCCATTGCTCCTCACCAGGACACAGCTGCACAGAGTGCCCATTGCTCCTCACCAGGACCCAGCTGCACAGCGTGACCATTGCTCCTCACCAGGACCCAGCTGCACAGCGTGCCCATTGCTCCTCACCAGGACCCAGCTGCACTGAGTGCCCACTGCTCCTCACCAGGACCCAGCTGTACAGCGTGTCCATTGCTCCTCACCAGGACCAACTGCACTGAGTGCCCATTGCTCCTCACCAGGACCGAGCTGCACTGAGTGCCCAAGCCTTGGGCCCACGTGATAGGATTCAACTTTTTCCTCTTTTTTTTTTGTCTTTCCTTTTCCCTGAGAAAGCCTTCTTGCACAATGTCCATTTTTAGCACACACTGGAGCTGGATCAGATGCCTCACATGTGGTCTGCACTCTCCAGAAGGAGAGATCAGCACTTTTTTTTCCTCCAGTGGTTTAACTACAGGCAGAAAAACTGAAGATTAAAACCTCCCTCACTAATTCACTCTTTTCCACCCTTACAGGCTGGGCCGTGCTGCATCGGCACAGCCACCCTCATTTGCTCCTGTAACTTTTCTTTCATTATTCTGGCTAATTGTGTGAGCTAAAATGAAAGATTATGAACGACAAAACCATGGGCTTTAGGACAGAAAGCGATCATCAGCTGGGATCAGAAGACATTATGATACGTATGAGGACAATGCAGTATTGCTTCTGTGGCTATAGCAAACACTTTGGGAAAAGAGATTTTTCAAAGGCTTTTTCAAGGCTCTGCCCTGTGGGTATAATGGGGTGTCCTCCAATTAACTGCCATGGAATCAATTAAGTTATTGCTCAATTCTTCTGGGAAATTCCAACCAGAACTGGCAGGCATTGGAGATAAAGCACTGAGCAGATGGACTGTTGATGTGCTCTGGGATGCCAAATAGATTCCTTTTTGTCACCATCGGAAGACAGTCAAGCTTCTGGGACAGACATCCCCCTTCTCCTGCTAAGATCCGCCTGGTTGGTGCGGAACACCAGGACATCTCCTGCGTGAGAAGCCCCATATACCAACGGGCACCGGCATGGAGCAGCCCCGGCACCACCATGCCTCCTGACAATGCTGAATGGGCTGGCAGCCAGCAGCACGGCTGCGGCAGCTGGGTAAAGCAAACAACAAATAACTGGAACAGTTTCCAAAACCTCATCCCATTCTGGTTACTTTTCAACTCCCTGCGGCTCTCTTCTCAAGGATGGTGAAAACGTTGCTTCGTGCTCTGGCCTTGGCAAAGGCCACCGCAAAGTCTGGTCTCACCAAATCCCCAGGCAGAAGGGGAGAAGCAACTGAACTTAGGGTTGCTTTTCCACACTTGAACCTTTCAATACACCAGAGTTTGTCAACCACTAATGACCATGCAAGTGGCAGTGTTCGCCACTTGAGGTCTTTAGGTCCTCAGCTGCCCCACACATCCCTCACTACCACTGCACACAGTGCTGAGCTGGCACCCGCAGCAGCAGTGATCTGGATCTCTTACTCTGAGATAGCTGTACATGCAGATGGACATCCAGTTGGTGAGCATCTTCTCCACCACAGATTCCGTTCTCCTCAGCATCAGCTTGGGGTTTTTGGAAGCTGAAGCATCTATTAGATCCACCAAGAGGTCCTTCATGATGCTGGTGTAATACTCCAGTTTCCCATGCAACGCAATAGTAAGCAGGGAGGCCAGGTTACATCTGAAACACAGAAATGTGCATGCCTCAAGCACAAATCCAACGAGACCAAACTGCTGACTGCCTTAAAAAATCCCAGAACACAAAGGCAGTATTCAAGGCAATTTTCATCAGCCTTCTCAATGGTGTCAAAACTTCAAACCCTCTTTCAGTGCTGCACGACCTTGGATCAGCTCCCACCCTTTTACTGGTAAGCCGAGTGTTCAGAGATACCTTCATGAGCGAGTTGCTCATTGTACCTTTTGGTGCTTTTCAGGATAATGGAGGTTTATGGCCATCCGTTTCTAATAGAAACGTGGGAGGCAAGTGCAGCTCAACCTTCATCAAAAGAGCATGCTCCAGCCATGGGCTGGATTGCTCACAGGTTAGGCATAAATCAGTGTCCTCCGGCTGCCAGGTCTTTTGTTCAGAAGCGCATACCTGTCTCTAACAGCAAAGTCCTTCTGTTGCTCGAGAGCATGGACAAACACAATGAGGAAGTGCTTGTTGTTGAGTAAGGTGGAGAACAGCGAGATTCCTTCTTCCATATTGGGTCTGCAGTTTTCAGGGATCTAAAGGAAAAATAGAAAGCAGAGTGAGAAAACCCCTGGCTGTTGTTTTCCTCTAGCTTTTATCCATCCTGACTGCAAGGATGTCCCTGCTGAAGGCGGAGGTGCTGAGCTGAAGACCCCTTACTCCCTCTGCTCGGCACAATCCAGCAGCTTGCTTTCCTGGAGAGGGCACAACTGTATGTGATACACAGCTGTATCAGAAGCAGCTTGCTCAGGGGCTTTGCCAGTGGCAGTGTCCATTCCTCTCTGCTCAGCACCTGGGAGGCTACCTGGAGTACTGTGGCCAGTTCTGGGCTCCCCACTACAACAAGGATGTTGGCAAAGTGGAGCAAGTGCAGCTGAGGGCTGCTAAAACAGTTACTGGGTGTACAGAGAGAGGTGGAGAGGGCTGGGTTTGGTGAGCCTTCAAGAAAAGTTCTAATGGGGGATCGTACTGCAGTCTTCAGCTACCCCATAGGAGGGCAGAGAAGACAGAGCCAGACTCTTCTCTGCTGGCACAGGGCTAGGACGAGAGGGAAGGGACAGCAGATGGAGCATCGAACACTGATTAAATATAAGGAAGGAAGTTTTCACCCTTAAGGTGGTTGGACAATGGAACAGGGCCCCAAGAGGCTGTGGAACTTCCATACTTGAACACACTTGACACAGCTGGACAAGGCCCTCAGCAACCTCATCTACTTGGAGCTGCTCTAAGCAGATTTCCCTTCCAACATCTGATCCTTCAATTCCTATTTCTTGTCCACATGAAACCCAGCTCTGGGACAACAGCAGCTTTTACCAAGTACTGCTTGGGAGGAATCTCATTTATGATGAACTGTGCCCAGGACTGAGGTGACACAGTACGATACACCCAGGGAGAAAAGACCACAGCAGAGCTGGGGAGGATCTCAGGACAATGAGCACATCCACAGAGATGCCTTCTCCAAACAGCCAAAGCTAATCCAATGCTGGTATGTGTTAATTGCTTTGAGTGATCAAGCATCCCCCATGCACCACAAGAAGATACCCAGCACTGTGAACACACACGACTACAGTTAGCAACCACTCGAAAGCATTTGTTCTGTTAGTGGGTTACTCACTTTCCATTCCCCCACCAGGAGCGGATGAGTTTCCTGGACCTGGGAGCCCACCTGGGAGTTGAGCTGCTGGGATGGCAGGATGTAGCACTCCTCGTAGAGTGAGGAACACTGCAACCAAGCACAGCGTTAGGGGAGGGCTCTGCACTCGGCCGGGGACGTCCTCGCTTGCCGTGCACCGCAAGGGAACAAGACAGAGACTTGTAATAGGGACTGAGGACCGCCCACTCTGCACTGGTATGGTTTATAAAGCCTTTAAACACTTTGCAAGAGCCTCTTGAATGAGCAAACACCACAAGAGAGGGGGGAGGCAGATGTGCGTGCAGACACAAGGCTGTTAGGGTAGGGAGACTGCAAATAGACTAATTTGACAGCTAGAAAAACCCCAGAAGAGAAAGCATTATAGAAGACTTAAGTCAAAATAGAGCAGTACTGGGTGTTTTAACATATGTAACTTTTGAAACAGATGGGAAAAATGTATAAATCTCTAGCATTCGTATAGCAGCCTGAGTCTTGAAGACTCCAGTGTGCTGATATGTAGAGATTGGGTAACTGAAAAACCTGAGTAATAACTCCTAATGAAACACTCTGCAGTCATAAATCATCATCTCACTCCTCACCACTGAAATGCAACTGCCTCGGGGGTGAAATACAGCCGCTGTTAAGGGCGCGCAGCGACGCAGCCGAGCAGCCCGTGACAGGAATTACGGCACCGGCGTGTCTGGTGTGGCCCCAGAGGAGGACTCTGGGTAGACAGACTGGGACTGGGTGCCCATGGGGCGTCTACTGGGAGCACCAGGCACCCAGCCTTTGACAGAGAGGAGAGGAAGGGGGAGACGAGGCATTCAATGAGCCCCTGAGGACTGGCAGAGCAGCAGGGAATGCTCGGTGGCACACTGGAGGGAACAAAAAGCCCCTTCTCCCTGAATGCCAATGGCAGATACACCATTCAGCCTCAGCTGAACAGAGTGGGGTGACACTGGAGCCCCTGGGGACAAGGGGGAGTCCCCAGTCCCTTCTGCTCATGTCACAGAGGGTGTTCAACAGCATCCAGTGGGTGAGCCAGAGCCACGGCCAGCCTCCTGCCATGTGCAAGCTTCATATCCAGGGGTTGTGGCTCTGCTTTTGATGATAACTGAGGCTGAAATATGTGACAACTAAATATACAACAGTGGAATTATCTTGTTACACAGTAATACTCCTATAGCAGAGGGGAAGCAGAGCCCTGATCTGGTTAGGAGGAACCTGGGAGCAATCAGGTGCCAGTGAAAGCCGGTACTGCCTTACTTTGGGGAAGAATGTCCGGGTGACAAAGTGCTTGTACTCCAGGAACGGGATCCCCTGGCTGCGGTTTAACTCCTTGGTCAGGTCTGTCATGTCTGTCTGCAGCTCCGCAAAACCTTACACAAAGAGACCCGCAGATGGTGAGAGCTCCGAAACACCAACAGCTGAGGCAGCAGCAGGCTGGCACCAAGATATGTGGCACATCTCAGCTCTGCCTCCTCCAGCCTTTCCCTAGAGTGGGCTGCCGCAGGTTTTGTCAGCGAGCAGCAGATCAGTGTCAGGGTTTAACCATGAGCACTCCACAGCACGTCCTGCAGCACTGACAGGGGGAATGCCAGCCCTGCCTGCAGGAGCACAGCCCCGTCGCTGGTCCTGCAGGACCCCAGCCTGTGCTGCAGCCACGTACCACGGGGACAGAGGCAGATGCTCGTGGCTTCTCCCACTGCTCTAGCAGCAGCGTTCTGCAGTTCCTGTTGCACCCACCCATAGAGCACACCGATTAGTGTGGCCTTCAAGCAACCCTCTGGCATGGCCAAGGGCCCTTAACCCTGCTTGCCCAAGTCAGGCAGCAAGACAGCAGCAGAGTCACTCTTCCAGCCTTTGAGCCCCATTCACAAACCCTGCCAAAGCTCAAAGGTAATGACAGAAATTCGCCTATAAATAATTCTATAAACTTCTACTGAGTAGAAGGTGAACGGCTTCAAGCTGCTATTCTGCCATCTCCCTCCCAGTTCTGGCTCCTCCTTGGCACCCGGCATGGTGACTTACCTTTGCGGATTTCCTCCCGGATCTGTGACTCCATCTCCTCCATCTGGAGCAGGGTTTTCTGCCAGTAGCGCTCAGCTCTGCGGCTCTTTGTGCAAAACACAAAGAGAGCTGGAAAAGAGGAAGGGAACAAGCCTGTTGGAGTAGGGCTTAGGAGCAGCTGCAGCTAAGATCAGAGCGGTCCGCTGCTGGCATGGGTGCAGAAAGCTAAACCCAGTGTTGGTTTAACACCTACAACAAGACTGGTATCTGATCAGGCAGTGGTCGATTATCTGTAAATAAGTAAAACCAGCTGGAATTTAATGACCGTGCTGTAGCTGTCATCTTCAGTTTAGGTCTGGGCTGTCTGCATTCAGCTCAACTGTATATTAATGTATTCCAGCTGATTAATGAATACAGATTTTAAGATGTTTACCACCTGTATTACAGTGTTCATGTCTGACAGTCTTCCCGTGCCACCAGAAATATGTTTCTAATGACGGGTGGTGCCTTAAATAAATAGTGTGCATTAAAACCTTTACTAAAAATAAATTAAATCTTATTAGAAACACCTCATTTGCTGTGAGCTGGCAGATTCCTGCTGCACAGGGTTTGCTGGGCACGCGATGAGGAGCTGCCCAAGCCAGAGGACACAGGTGTGTTGCACTGCTCCCAGTGAGCTGGGCAAACTGTTGTGTCTGCTCCAGGTCTGCAGCTATGGATGCTCGCTCTGTTCTTCATACTCTTTGCCAGGTGGCTGTCACTGGCTGTTGTTGATGACAGGACCTTGAGCTAGGTGGACCTTTGGGATGGTCTGGAACGGTCATGCCTGTGAGTAAGCCCTGCTCATGTCAGTATGAGCCCAAAACCAGTTTCTCACACTCTATTTTGTATTATCATAGCTACTAAGTGTTTTGGGGAAAAGAGTAAGTTTATAAATATCACAGGCTCAAGTAACAGAGTTGAGCTATGGATTCAGCCAGCAAATACTCCATGCTGCAGGAAGCTTTGATCCTGGGTACTGGCTTGATCTATACAAAGAAGAGTGATACTTGCACCCAGACCAGTTTCAGATGCTGCACAACTGCAGCGCTCAGAAGTTTCTTAACATGTGAGTGAGGCATTTTCCCCCCTCCACATGCAAAGGGAAAAAACCTCAGCACAGCCTAGAAACTCATTGTTTTGTTCCCTTACCTACAACAGAGAGAACCAGCAAGATGCTGCAGATGACAATGGAGACGATGATTGCGGTCTCTCCTCCCCCAAGGTGCAGCATTGCAATTGTGTAGTTGAACTTCCCCACTTGGATCTAGAGAAGGAGAGAGGGAGGAAAAGCAGGAGCTCAGCAGCACGTTGCCAAGCAGCTCAGAGGTTGAGCAAGCAGGGACCATGGGGCAGCACTCAACAGACCTTCGCCTATCCTAAGGCCACCACAGGGACTCATGTCACAGCCCCACCGAACCCACCCCAGAACACAAGACACCCTTTTCTTAGAGAGCTCACCATACCATAGAGTGCTGCCTAGACTCCTTTTACTAGAAAACCACTTGCACTAAACATCTGACTTTGTTACGCCTCTGAAAGGCCTTTGATCTGCTCCAAAACCAGAACTGCTGCCACTCAGGAGAAGGAAGGAAAAGAAACTTTCAGGTCTTTGAAATACAAGTAAGGGAAAGTTTGGTTTTGTTCTTTTAAAGTTTAACTTTTGAAATAAAGTAAGAGAATAAAAACAAATAATAATGGGACCAGAGACAAGTAATGATCTTGTGGCTGAAGCAGTGGACTGGGTGTCAGAAGTGCTGGCTCTGCTCCCAACCCATACTTCTTGTGACACCAAGCACAAACCACTTGAGCTCAGTTCTGCGGTCTCCTGATCAGCAGAAGGGAGGAGGCCAACACGCACACCACAGGCAGGCTGCTGAGTTTATTTGGTGCTGTTTATAAATGGCTCTTTAGATCCCTGGGATGAAAGGGTGCAACAGCATCATCTGATAAGGAGAACTCATGACCACGCAATTCTTTTGCTCCGGAACTGTGAGTTTCACTTCTCTCAAGGAAAGAGAAGCAAGAAAAACTTGAGGGGAAAAAAAAACAAACAAAAAAAAAACCCCAAAAACCCCAAACTGAAATGAGGTCAGGAAGAGGTGGAATCACCTTATGCTTGCATCTGTGTCATGGAGCACCTCCAGGAAAGGTGCACTGTCATTAAAGTCAGCTCTCAGCAGCTGGGACAAAGTCCTTCCCACCACATTCACGCATCAGGCAATGTGTAGCACACAGCTCCATACCCACCGGGAAATCTCAGCCCTTGCTTTTGGGAGCACTGCTGAGGGCACCAGTGCTGCCAGCCAAAGACACCCAGACAAGGCTGGAGCTCTGGCCACAGCTGCTGCCTCCATGGGCAAGAGAGGAAGGAAAGCCTCATGTGGGCAGCTCCAGCTGCCAGCACCTGGAGCCAGGGGAACCTTCAGCACCTCCAGCCACCAGTGCTGGACACATGGACTGGCTCCCCTGACTCCAAGCCCCAACATGCCCTTGTACCAGCCCCAGATGGGCTCTGACACTGATGGTTTCTGGGGTGGTGCCTCCAGCAAACCCAGACCAAAACTAAGCTCCAGCTCACCTACTGCACTCCCAAAAATGATGCTTGAAAGTGATCTCCAAAACACAGGGACGCTTAGGAGCCCCATCTTCATCACCAGCTCCTTTTCTCTACAGACAGCTCTTACTGCCCTGTACAACTTGCTAACATGGACCTTCACAGAATTGCCATACCCAAAATCAGGGTCAGAATTCAGATCACCATTGGGACACATTTTCAAGGGCTGTTTTCCTGTGTTCTGACCACTGCAGATGGGAGCTCTACCACCTAAACAAGAACAGACTGGACAGTTACAGCAACAGGCATCAGCTCCCCAGCAGAATTTGCATCAGCGGCCCCTGGCTGCTGCCCTGGCTGCAGGTCAGGCAGGGACCACTGTGCTGTGCTATCAAAGCTGCTACGAGTGTTGTAAAGGCAGCTGCTGCTATGAAGGGGCAAGCAGGAGACAACTCCAACCATGTACGAAGGTCCAATACATGTGCACAGACATGATAAGAGTTGATTGTTCAGCTGCACTCTCACTGCTGGTACACTCTTAATAGCTATGTGATACTTCAGGGCTGGGTATCATTCTCCTGCTTCCTAAGGACCTGCTAGTTCATTGCCTGGAATGTTTTATGTCAAACCAAGACTAGCAAACTCATAAATTGCTTTTCTTCCCCAAAGGGATTTTCCTGTTCCTCAGTTGTAACTAAAAACAAAATACCCTATTTAAAATTTCCATTAAAATGACTTGGGAAATTCTGCTACTTCTGCATTTCCATGTTCCCAGTTTGCAGCAGAATTTCATATACCACAGCTTGTAATCAGTAAACTGGAGGAGCCTGTCAGTGAACTGGTGGTGCATTTTCATGCTGTTCTTCCAGGCAGCACAAGCCCACAGCTTCTGCAACTCCCTTACAGCCTTCCTCCTCCTCCTCCCTGCCATGCTGCAAGCTCCCACCCGTTCACAGTTAAACACAAGGGGGCTGCAGGGTCTCAGACCATGAAGACGAAGGCATTTTCTCTCCAGATATGAAGAGGCAAAATCACATCCCTATGTGGCAATGGGCTGCAGATGACATGAGGGAAACCGAGGGCAAGAAGAGCAGGTAAGTCCAGCCCTCCATGGAAAGGACACTAACAAAGTGCTGTGAATTCTGCAGACACAAAGAGGAACAAGAGCCCTGAACACCAAACACTTCACGGTGACAAATGGCAGTCCCTGGGAAGCAACACAAAACCTTCCAGCCCCATGCACTGCTCCTGCCCTGCCCAGCCACACACAGGGACCCATCTCCAGTGGTTCACTGCAGCTTGGTGAGGGTGAACCCTCACACCCACTTGTAGCCCCTGTGCTGGCTGTAGGAGGCCAGCTGGAGGAAAGCTGCATGGAAATCCCCAAACGTGTCTCATGAGGGGCACAATTACAGCAAGTGACGAACCCTCATGCGCCTGGAGCTCATAGCGCTTTACACAAGAGCTCACAAAATCCCCCCAGCTCACAGCCCAGCTCCTCACCGGTGCCCATGATGCGGAGTGGGCAGCCCCTCTCCATGACTTGGGGCGGCCTCAGCGCCCACTGCTCCTGCATCCCGGCAGCGAGCCGCCAGCCGAGGTGCTCTGTCCACCTCCCATGGGGGCAGCATTCCACCCATGCCTGCCGGGTTTGCACTGGGACCCCTGTGCCCGTGCCCAGAGCGTGGAGGCTCCGGGACTCACCGTCACTGGGAGCTGCCTGTCCGAGGTGCTCAGTGACTCGTTGACAGAGCAGTGGATGACTTTGTCCGAAACAATCTGGATCTCACACGAGATAAGGCCAATCTTCACTTGGTACTCGTTGCTTTCCAGGCCCAGGCTGTCAGGCTCTTTCTAATGACAAAAATAGAACCAGGATGTCAGTCTTTAGAGCAGCAGTCAAAATTGCAATGGATTTTCCTGCCTTACTTTCCGTATTCCCTGCTGGTTTTGAGACCTGGGAGGACTCTCCATCATGAAGGACGTTTTTTCAGCCCTTCACAGGAAACCCAGAACTGGGCCATTCCCCATTTTCCTGCTTCCCATTCCTCACTCAGCAAGGGGCACAGGACGAGCAAGCCCCTCATGGAACCTGGAAAAATCTGCTTTTGATCTGCTCTGCTGTGCACTGAAGATAAGGATCTAAGCGCCCACCTGGGAGAGGGGAAGGATGTACAGAGGAGATAGCCAGGGGATGTGTCTGCAGAGCCTGAGAACGGGGGAGTGAGTTTCTGAAGCACGTTGCAAGCAGTGAGGATATCCTGCGGTGAACAATGGCCTTTGAATTACAGTTGCACATTGTCCAAGCCACTCAATTGCTGTACCCTGACTTCCTTGTTAACTCAGCTGAATTCAGTAGCCAAAAGAGAAGAATGCATGACTTGTTTCTGCAAGAATAAATACCTATTGTCAGGACCTTCTGGAGCACCTGCCTGATTTCAGGCCAGTGCATTACCATTCTCTTTCATATACCCAGTATTTTATTTAGCTTCTTGCTACTACATCCTCCAAAGGCAGCGCTCTGCAACCATGCCTCCAAGGGCATCCTCAGGTCAGGCTGTGTCTCCTGGTGAAGAGATGCAGGTGCAGCGGACTGAGCAAGAACTACCAGCTCCTGTATCATTCCTGCCTCTCCCATCCTCATCCATCCCCCATCTCCCTCCTGCCTGTGTGGACAGTCACAGTGCTGAGACTGAAGAGCTTCCCAGTGGGGAGCATGCAGCACCCCGAAAGAAGCAGAGCTGTTAACGCCACGCTCTCACATGTATAACCAGGGTTAAGGGCTCGCCAGGATGGTGCTTGATCCACTTCTCCTTCTTGGCTGTGAAGAACTGGGGGTCAGCATAGTACTCCAGGCTGAACTTGCTGATGTGCAAGGCCTCCTCGGGGTACATCTCCTCATCCAGAGCTGGACGGTCATCTGTGTAGAGGCGACCATTGAGATAGAAATCGACGGGTGCAGGCTTGCTCCCCACAGTGATGTTGGAGGCAGCAGGAGAGGGGCAGGTGATGGTGGTGTCGGTGTGAACCTTGCAGCTCTGACAGCAGGAGAGAGCACACACGTCAAACCCTGACATCTTGAGTGCTCCCACCCAGCCCTGCTCCCAGCCCAGTCTGTAGCAGGTGCCCAGGCCTCAGCTTCACACCCTGGTTACTGGGCAATACCCAGGGGGACACCCACCGTCGGCTCTCTGCCAATGCCTCGGACCACCATGGACACGTTCTGGACCAGTTCAAAGCCTCTTCCTTCCAGGGTGATGATCCTGCCGCCGCTTTGACGAGAAGGGAACAAAGAGAGGGTCACTGCAGAGACAACCCAGCAGCGAGGCGCAGTGGCTGGGTCTCCTGCTGCCATTTTCCCAGGGATGTTTCCCAGGTGCGTGAGCAGAAAGCATAACCCAGCAGCCAGAACCTTCTTCCTACTCACAGCAAGCATCCACACTGCTGCCAAGGCATCAGGGAAGGAAGGAGGAGCAGTGGCTGCTATGGTGGAAAGTGGGGACCTCTTCCAGCTGCAGAAAGCTGCCCCCTCACTCCCACTCCCCAGAGGAGCAGCCAGCCTCTGCCTGCTGGTGTACACAGCAGGTTGCCAAGGCCACCAACAGTGTAAGAGATGAACCTCCAACCCCTCAAAGCAAGAGCCAGGAGATATTCCCTCACTGTCTCCACAGCGACCTGCAGAGAACTGTGAATCCTGGAGAGGGAAGAGCCCCCTTTAATGCTGACAGGGATCCTGCATCTCCCAGACACTTCTGATTTAGATCAGAATGTGAAGTTGTTTTGTGTTTTGGATCTGCTGCCTGGGGAATGTGAAACATGGGCCTCTCAATGTGCAATCAATTAATGACAGTGACGAGAAGACCCTGATGCTCTGCTAGGCAGGGCAAGGGATGGAGAACTGGCACTGCGTTTCTGCCCTGGACAGCAGAAGCTACAACCTGGATTTACCTTCCCCTTTCTTCACATCACATCTGATCTATTCAGAGCATCTGTCATGGAAGTCAGGACTTATAAATGCCATTATCTGAGGACCGCTCCAGACACAGTGACTTTGGGCCCAAGGTTCTCTGAAATCTGGGGGTATTACTACGCATTTACGATCCGAGTTTTTAACTAAGGGCCTGTCACATCTGCAGACAAGTTTACAACTTCTGTTCTGTTTTAAACTTCGCTTACATGGATTATTTTAGCAGCATGGCAAGATAAATCAGATCTGGCTAAATTTTTACACAAGTTAATGACCCCTCATGCTCAGCAGCCCAGCAAGGCACCAGAGCAGTCGGGCTACACGAGCCACCATGTAGTCTGATGAGTGAGACTGCTGTCATGCTCCCGGTGGAATGCAATTTTGCTGTAAATACTAAGAAAGCAGACCAAGGTGACAGAGAAATACCCTGGTGGTTTCCTTTGTGAATGTGGGCACTGACATTCTTCCACTGTCTCTGTGTTCAGATACCGCTCTCACCACTCAGCTCAGTTCGCAAGCCTATGAGGAGCTGAGGTTGGTTGAGTCACTGCTGTGCCTTGTCATTAACTTTCCCATAGCCCAAATCTTTGGTGATGCACTTGGGAATGCCGAGACATGGCTTTGCTCCAAGGGGATCAGACCATCAGAGTTGCAACAGCACTGCTGTCACCATGGTTCTGCAGGCTCAGGCACTGGGCTCTTGGGTTTCTTGGTCAGCCCTGGGTTTCCCAGGCTGCACAGCCAAGGAAGGTGGGATTTCACCATGGTATCCAAAGGAACAGGAGCCTGAGAGCTCCACAGAGAGACATGAAATTAAAAGCAACACGCTTTGAAAATGAAATACCATCACCAGGGAAAGCTGAAATCCAAAATTACAAATCTCAGCTTATCCTCCAACAGTTTTACTGCCAAGAAAAATCCTCAGGGTCTCATACAGCCCACCTGAACCCCCCTAAAGCACCCACCAGGTGTGCACGGTGCAGTTACCGTGTCCTAAATGCACTGAAATGAGCTACAGAGAGTCCTGGTGTGTGAAATCTCTTCTGCTCCTGCTGAGGCACACTGAAGCACATTGAGAGCTGTGGTGCCCTTTCGTACCTATCTGCAAGGTACAAACTGGTACAAGGGCTGAGAAAGCTCCTTTCTGCCTACAGGACCCTCTCCTGCCAGCCTGGAGCTCACCCTCTCTTTTGCAGGTAGACACAGATTATGTGCCAGCTCTGAAATGGAAGTCAGGATGCTGCAATAGTGTGGCATGGGCCCCAGTACCAAACCCTGCCTCCTGGTTGTGCTTCAGGGTCTCCTGACATGGGGTTTGCTCAGGATCTACTCTGCATCTGGATGGCTTGAAGCAGAGGCAGGGCAAGCCTGCGCTGCCTGCACCAGCCTACACCAGGTACTCCAGTTAGGTCCAGGCTTTGATGGGAGAACCCTGTTCACTTTTCAGTCAGCAAAAATTAAGGGGCTGATCTCAACAAAGGTCACAAAGGAAAGCTCAGGTCCGGGCAGCTCGGCTGTCTGCTGGGGGAGGCACATTACCTGATCTGGCTCTTCTTGGGGTTGATGTCTGATATAATCGGGTTCTTCTCATACTTGAAGGTGATGTTGTAGCTGGCACAAGACTTGTTCTCGAACTGAACGCAGACTCGCACGGCCGTGGTGAGCTCCGCAGAGGGCATGGTGCAGGTGATGGTGCTGGCATTGCGGCTGCATTGGGAAAGCCGGGTAAGCTGCAAGGAGCCAGGGCAGGCAGAGCACGGGAGCCTGGCCCCATGGACCTGAGCACCCCCCCAGGAGCAAGGCAGATGGCAGACATGGGCAAGAAGGAGTTCCCAGTCTCATGCCAATCCCTGTTAACTACATTGCTTACTAATGAGCAATCTCAGCCTTTATCACGTCAGGCTGCCAGACTGAGTTGCCATCCAGCCAAAGGGAAACAGCACACTCCTAATTCTAACCACTGACAAGAGAGGAACATACAGGAGGAGAGTTTTCTTCACCGCTCCAGGAACACCAGCCTGACGGGTGCTGGAAATGGAGGCAGCAGCCAAGTGGGCTGCTGGGGATGCTGCACTGGTTCCAAGGCTTAGCAGTAATATGCAGTGATTCCCCCATGTCCCCATCAAACCCCCAGCTCTTCCTGACCTCCCTGGGGACAATGCCACCCTTCCTAACACTTGGCTCTTGTCACTAGATCAGTGCCAGCCCCTAGACCCAGTCCCACCTGAGGTCAGTGCACTGCCTGGAGGTATTGACCAGGACACGGAGCTCGGAGCCGACATCCAGCCTGCTGCCTCTGATGGTCACTCTGGTTCCTCCTGCCTTCGGGCCATTGAGGGGAGCTATAGACTGCACCAAAGGAAGCTAAAAACAAAGGGGACATCTGATTTCTGGCCTGGCAAATTCACAGCTGGATACTCCACATTGCACATGGGAATTGCTTCAGTAAATTTAAGTATCCAGTACTGTCAGGCTCTAATATAGCAGCACAGCAAAAGCTTTCACTGTCAGGGTTTCAGAACAGGGGAAGAAGTGCAAGTGCTGAGGAGTGAGATCATGTAAACCTCTGTGATCCCTAAATTGTGGCAATAAATGAGACATGAGCCCAACTGGATCCCAGACCCCACCAGTCCCTCGAGATTTCCAACAGAAGGTCCAGAGATGGCGACAGCTCAGAAAAGGAAATTTCTCACTCATCCCAGCTCCCACCATCTCTGCCCTTCCAGATCCATTTCTTCCTGAATATGAAGATAATGCTGAAGCCCCACTGGATAACGGCCTTGAGATCTGTGAAAGCAGCCACATGGCTCTACATAATTGAATATCAAACTCCTCCTTAAGGAACCTTCAAATCCGAATCTCTGGAGGTGACAGGAAGTTACTTTGCCTCTCGCCATTTTCAGCAGAAATTAGCATGTGTGTTATCTGCATCTGCAGCCCCTGCAAATCTTCCTGAGATTCATGAGCTGGAGGCTTTGATAACTAATGCAGGGCTGAGCCCTTGCAGCGGCTACATCGTGCGCCCCAGCAGAGTCTGCTGGGCAGCCGCCCTGCTCGGGCGCGAGCAGGACACCGAGGGCAGAGTGAACAGTTATGTCAAGGCCCTTCCATAGGGCTGTTGGTAATTCCCTGTCGAGCACTGCAAGGCACAGGCTGGGGCCGGCCGGAGCTGCTCCCCTCCTCCTCGCTGCAGCCACCGAGCAGAACTGCAGCAGCGTTCTGAGGAGGGATGAGCTGCTCCACTCCACCTGGTACAGATGCCCTTCCCTGTCAATCTCAGCCACAAACATCCTTATTAAGAGCTACCCTTGCCCTTGTCCTACGCTCAGCCATTTCCACTGCTGTTTCTGATCATTACCCATTTCCACAGGATTCATTTTGTTAATTTGTGTTTCTGAGTGCCTGCAGGCAGCTGTCTCCTGCCCTTGGCCCCTAACCTGTGCATTCAAATGTGCACTTACAACAACAGCAGAGAGGATTATTCATGTTCCCCAAAGCCCTTCAGCTCTTCCCTTTGGCAAGAGCCAGGGCTACTGCTCTCTGAGCACTGCCAGCACGGATTGCCTCCAGCGCCACTTTGGCCAATTCACCTCATCCATAGCCTGCTATAATGTTCTGGAGAGGTCTGTTGATAACGTTTTGCTCTCCTCCTCAGCAGAATCACAGCTGAATTCTGTCCTCTAGATACATCTAATGGGGACCTTGAAAGCTGTAGCACACAGGAAATATTTGGTATTTTACAAAGAACCTTCTTTGGAAGGGCACTTCTAAAAGTCTTAAATCAGATAAATTGCTATCAGTGCTCAGGCATCAGCAAGACCAGCCATGCATGGCATAGTCTACTCCATCTTAATGCCATCATATGCGAGAGGAGAATCAAGAGAACTCAAGAGTGTTGCTTAGTTTGTAAAGGGGGTGGGAGCCACTTTTGGTGTGGCACACACCACCAGCTACGCATCGTGCAGCTCCCCACACGTGTGCACAAAGCAGGGCACTCTCCCACCTCTTCCCCAAGCTTTGCTGACATACGCAGACACAAGACAGCTTTGTGCTGTGCCCCCCCAGCAGAAACTGGCTCCTCGCTCCCAGGAGGACAGCCTTCTCCTTCAGCCTGCCAGGAGCTGCAGCACAGAGCTGTTGCAGACCTGGTTTGAGTTCAGGAACTGGCTTTTGCTCCTGCTGCTTTGCTTATCACTGCTGCTTCTACAGGTGCTTCCTGAAAGGGCTTTTCCTTGCATGGAGAAAGCCCATGAAGGAGTGCCCAGCCCTTTCCCACTCTTGGAGCCTTCCTTCTCTTTATCAACCAGACAATAGCCCAGCAATGAGTGATGTGCCCAGTCAGCACACAACCTTGTGACAACGCACCAGAGACCCCAAACCCAAAGTCTGTCACTGGGCTGTACCCCCTGGCACCTTGCTCCAGACTGCTGGATCACTGAGAGACTTTGGATGTGAACATGGATGTCTGGAAACGCTGGGAATGCATGCAAAAAATAAGACAATCTCTACAGCCAAATAAATCAGTTCTAAATAGCATGAGTCCATGTGTGAGTCCATGGTATATAACTTAACTTACACAGCACAAGGAGACTTTGCAAGCCTTAAAAAATCTCACAGATTGTAAGGGCTTGGAAGAAAAGGTATATCTCCTTTCAATAGCAGGAGAGTGATACAGCCAGGATGAGGGAGAAACCTCTGCAGGAGCCGAAATGGGGCTGAGGTTGTGCCTGATGACACCACGGCTGCAGTCCTGCCTGGGTGTGCCAGACCTCGCCCAGGTAACCACGGGTGAGGAGATGCATCTGCTGCTCCTCGAGGACCCCAACATGTTTGTCCTAGATCCTCCTTCAAAGCCAGTTGGGGGGGGCAGCGGCTGTGGGCTTGTTTTAAGGGGTGCAGGAACCACCAAAGAAACATCCAGGAGGCAGCTACTCACCACGTAGGAGTACCGCTCCCTGGACTTCCCCTCCCGGCTCACATTCACTGTCACCACATCCGAAAACGCCTCCTGCGCCTCTCCGGTCTGGCATACGATCCTGCGGATGGGGAAGGGGAGGCTGGCAGTGCTGCTGGTGGCACAGGGGCTGCCCCGCAGCACTGAGCCTGGCACAGGGCACCACATCCCACCCACAGCATGTCCCCATCCCCATCCTGCCCAGGGTGCAGCGCCAGGGCAGGAGCGGGGCGAGCGATGGGGGCCGGACAGCACAGGCAGGGGACACGAAGGGGAGAGGGGCCCCGCAGCTGCCCCGACACTCACGCCTCGGACACGACGTATCTGGCGGGCAGCGGGGCGCACGGCACGCTGCCGATCCGCACGGCACCCACGACGTCGCTGAAGCGTCGGCCCAGGTTCCTCCCGCGGATGGTCAGCAGGGTGCCCCCCTCCAGCGGCCCACGCAGAGGCTCGATCTGCGGCACCGAGGCACAGGTCGGAGGAGAACCACCAGGAAGCTTCTTGCCTTCACCCCTGTGCCCGTCCCACCTTCCACTCGCCCCCCACCGTGAGGAAGACAGAATTGCTCCTGCTCGCTCCAGCACACCCAGCACCATGCTCCACTTGCTGCAGCTTTGCCAACAAGGAACCATTGCACTTCTGTGCTGGGCTTGGTCAGGGCTTGCTCCAGCTGCAGACATATCTGGGGTGAAACAGCACTCCTTCCACACCACAGCTTGGAATGGAGTTGGGGCAGAAACAAACCCAGAGGAGGGGTGCTAGTGTGGAAGAGTCCTGCCATCACATTTCTAAGGGCTGTTCTGAACAGAGCAAGACCCTTCAGGACAAGAATAAGACAAAAAGCATCCTGATGCACGGAGCGTGGCCAAGCCACCAGCATTGCAGCCCCCTGGGGTGCAGGACAAGCCCACCACTGCGGGAGAAGGTTGTCCCCCATCCATCTCCTACACCAATGGTGTTTCACTCCACCACTGCGAGGGGACGGGTGCTGGTGTGATGCTGCTCCAGCGCATGAGGGGCATCATCGGGCAGCATGACTGCATTGTTCAGCGGGTGAGACAAACCCTTCCTACTCAGAAATGTCTGATCCTTCACAAAGGCACAGGCACACAAAGCCAGCACAATGCTTTACTGCAGCAGCCGGCCAGAGCTGCTCAGGACCCACCCCCAGGCTTGTGCCCTCCTTCACCCGCTGCATTGCCCCCTCCAGGAGGGCTCTGCAAGGGCCCCTCTGCTTGCGTGACTCTGGAGGGTTTGGATCTACCAGCTGCTGTTTGCTAAGGAAACAGCGGCAGAGTCCTGTGGCCCTCTGCCACCTGAACCCTGGTTTCCTTCCATTATTTTCTGGCGAGGTGCTGATAACACTTGGTGTGTGCTGGGGCAGGACAGGCCCCTCCTGCCATTAGGAGAGGGGAGAGGCAAGCGATGGGGACCCTGCAGTCCCTCCAGGGGAGGGTGCCGTGTTATAGCACCTGGATTTTGAGCAGCTATCCCTACACACCTCCCTACACACAGAAATCCCATATCCTTGCCCATTTTGATGTTCACATTAGCAGTTTTGACTCTCCAGCTTCTCCTTTCCTAACAAGCTCATTTTAAGATTTCCTCTATATACTTTCTTTATTGCTTGTCAGGAGCAAATGTGTTGACTCATTTCATGCCTCTAAGCAGTACCCTAGGTCCAAATGCCCCCGACCAACTGTTCATTCAACTATAATTTAAATAAAACTCATTTCAAAATGATAATGGAAAAGGTCCCTCTGCCACTCTTCATCTCGACAGAAGTGCACAGCAACGTGCAAGGAGATAGTACTTATGTTCACATTTCAGCTACGCTCCATTAAATGCTGATCCTGGTAAGAATCCTTCACCAACCCTACAAATCGTTCTTGCTTTTACCAACCCCAGGAACTTCAGGACATTGCAACTGGGCTGCTGCTTTTCCCCCTAACATGATAAAGATCGGATCTTGTCACCAGCAAGATGTCCTTGGCACTGGGTGACTCAATGGCATAGAAACAGTAATTCAGTGCTGGTCTTGACCCCGTCCAGCATCAGGGACAAAGTGTGGTCCCTCCCCTGCCCCAGGGGCCCGGCACAGCCAGTGTTAGCCCCTGCACACCTGCCTTGTGCTCTCCACGTCCCATCCGTGTCTCACCTTCTTAATCTCTGGAGCAGGGCAGGCATCTGAGAGCTGGGGGCTCTCGCTGTGCAGGCGGCAGCTGGAGCTGCTCTCGCTCCAGATGCAGCGATGCCCCAGGTCCTCCCTCCCCAGGCACTGGGAACAGTCGGCGCTCCCGGTCGCGCAGTTGTACACCTCCACTAAACCACCAGAGACAATAGTAAGAGTCAGCTCCTGGGCCTGGGGCTTTGCTTAGCTTGAGGCAGTCAAACATACCCCCTTTTACATCCCCACCCCCCAGCTACATTAATCCAAGTAACATCTGAAATCCAGTGTATTCCAGAGCAGCTTGCACATATAGTGAGATGAGGCAGCTCTTGGCTGCCATCCTAAAGATTTCCCAGAAGGACTGGGTGCTTGTTCTCACTGCAATATAATTTAGCACTTTCTTTTCCTTTTTCTTCCCCTTGAAAAACAAACAACACCCAAACTCGGAACCTTTTGTCAATTTATGCTACATGTTTCCAACTCTCAGCATCCACATGGGAAGCTGCTTGGCAAAGCTGGCTCCATCCTGTTAGCAAAGCAATCACATTGCTTCCACACTCTGACAGAAATTGGATGGCTGCAGTGCTTTGTACAGTGTTTACAGTTCCTTCCCTTCCCCCTGGTGACCACGGGCCCCTTTCATTGACTTCTCCCTTCAGATCTGCTCAGCTCAGCTTCCACATCTTTTTCCTACATGGCTTTCACCTCTTCATTAGCTGGTGCCCGAGGTTACATTTCCTCTCCAGCCTAAAGACTTCTGCCGCTGGAGTGTGGGCATCCGCTGAGATAAACAGCCAGAAACACTCAGGAAACATTATTTTCACGCCCAGCTCCCCAGAGGAGTCTTTGCAGGAGAACATAAAATAAAGAAACAGCCCCATTTTGCAATTCTGTTCACGGAAGGATCTCAAGATGCTTCATAAGCCACTAATGAACCCTTAGCCCTCAGCAGCCCACCTGTGCTCGCGTTAATGAAACGTCACCTGCACCGAGGGACTCTCCCAGTCTCCACAAAAAATGAGTTTATTTCTTTCACCTTGCCTTGAGTCCACCCAGTGAGTTGCACTGGTTGGTTTTCCACCCCACAGCAATGAGCTGGGGTTCCTTTGATGGGCTACCAGAACACAGTCTACAATAAATGCTAATAAATATTGAAGTACTAAACACTAATAACACTAATTCCACTAGCGAAGTACGAAAGATGCACACATTTATAATGGGCCCAGCAGATCTCTCTCTCTGCTCACGAGACAGCCTCTCTATTTCACTCTCACCAATCTGATCAAGGCGAGGAGGAGCCGGAGCCGTGCAATGGTCCCATGGGATCTCCAAATATTCTGGCAAATTCAGACTGATGCAAGCAGAGCCTCTGAAAGCGAGTTCTCTCTCCACGCAGGAGGAGGGGGGGTCCTGCTGCACTCCTTCCGCTGCTGTTCCTGCTTCCAGCACCACCCACGCCAAGAACTGAGGCTCTCGCACATCACAACGGGCTCTGCTCAGATCTCCCACCCCTCGCCTCCGGGTTACCTCTGGATCTCACAAATACAGACACTCTCTTCCTTCTGCAAGGAAGTCATATCTGATGCCTACCACGCTGGCATTTCAGAGGCTATTTCACCAATGTGGAATGCTCTGCGAGATAAGCCTTCTTTATACACTGGGATTTACTATGGGGAAACCTTTTTATCCTGGGTCAGTGGCCTATGGTGTTAATGTCTCCCTATTTATTACAGCTGTCCTCTGAAGAAAAGCTTCCCTTGGGCAGCTAGTTCACATTTGCACCTAGGGTAAATCAGTTCCTTCTGCGGCAGTTGCTGACACTCCTGACAGGGAAAAGAGCCCCAGGCTGCTGCCCCCAGCCATGGCACCCAGCTTGGTGCATCACCATGAGCACCCAGTTAAGGTGTGACACCAACAACACCCAGCTGGGTTTGACTCCCTGTCTTGGGCAGGAGAGGGAGGCGGCTGTTGCACAAGTGCTGGCCAGGGGCGAGCTGTGCTCAGAGGCTGCGTCCTCCTCAGCACAGGAGGAACAGAAAAAAGGCTGAATTTTTACAGAGGGCTGAGCCTTGCTGCCACGCAGAGCCTGGCAGAGCCTCCCCCATCCCTGCCTGTGTCCTCTGGGAGGAACTTCTCTCAATGCTGGGGACTCCCACACCTCCCTGTGTCCCAGAGCTCCAGCTCGACCGCCTGCGCTCGAGGATGGGCTGAGCTTCTCCTGGGTGTCCAGGGGTGCCATCTGATCTCTGGGCACAGGAAGAACCAAGCTGTGCCCAGCTGAGCCACGGCTCTCTCCTGAACCCATAAACTTTGCCAGGATTTCGGAGTCGTTCAAGCCGCCCAGATGAGAGCAGAATAAAAATAGTTTCAACTCAGACCTGTCATCGTCTCCGGACTGTCGATGAATCTGTCCGGTCTATCCTTCAGCTGCAGGCTCACTGGGAAGAGATGGCTTTTTTCTGGTGTGTGGAGCTGCACATAGGAAAAGAACAACAAATGCTGAGGAAATCTAGTCAGATGGGAGGCTCCATGTACACACTGTATGGATTAACATTCCTCGTGAGGCTGCTGCTCAGTACAGGAGGGTCTCATCTTCAGCAAAAACAGAGGGGAGACTGTTCTCTGGTTTAAAGCTTCTGCTGAGGTCCCAGTGAAGGGTGCTGGGCACAGCACACTCCGCAGGGAGCAGAGCCCAGCCTTGCTGCTATTTTGAGTAGGAACGGACAGGAAAGCCAACAGACTGGACAGTGCTGGGCTACAGCACGGAGGTTTGCAGGTGACGTGGTGGGAAAGCGCTCCTCTCCTGCTCTGCTCGCAGTATTCCCATGGGTGGAAGCCCAAACGACCGCTGCATTTCAGAGGTGCAGTTTGCTCTCTCACAACCGCATGCTGCTCTTCAGTGCCTGCACATTTTCTCAGGCCAGCTCCTAGCTCAGAATAAAAGCTACAGAAATAGCAACACTGAAAGGTGGCCAAATTTTTTGCCTGAGCTGAACTCTGCCTGTTTGGAAAGGTAAACAAGCAGCAACCTCCAAACCCCAGTGGAGCCAGGGCTGGAGCCGCTGCAGATACCCACAGAGCAGACACTCAGCATCGTGAACACCCCCCCCAGCACCAGCACACACAAAGAGAACCCAGTTTGCACTTATTTCACCTGGAAGTGGAGGTAGGGAGAAGGGGAGGCAGCGTCCAGCTGCGGGTGGGAGTCTGGGGGCAAGACCTCCCCATGCCATGGGAGATATGGGGTGACAGCCGCAGGGGATATGGGGTGATGGCCGCACCCCTGACTCACCAGCACGTGTATGCATTCCACAGCAGAGGAGTTCACCCACCGGGCTTCAAATGTTCTGTCGGTCCCAAAATGGCATTCCAGGGCTGTCTCCTGGGAGAGGGAAGACAAGGGCAGAACTTCTGTGCTGTTCTCCATCTCAGTGAACCGAGAGGGCAGGCACCATGTCTCACCTTGTTTCTGCCGTCAGCACCTGAACCGTGCTCAGCTCAAATAGATCAGAACCTGGCACTGGAAACGGGGCTGGGATCTGTGTCTAATTAATCCTGCTCTGGTACACACCTATACACAAAACTGCTGCAGGCTGAGCACTGCACGTGGAGCCAAGCCTTGCCCCTTGCTCTCACCTGCTGTGACCAGGAGTGGGGCAGCTGCTCCTGGAGCCGGGGACACACAGCACATGCAGACCAGGAGATGTGCCTGACCCACGGCACTCACAGACCAGGAGATGTGCCTGACCCACAGCACTCACAGACCAGGAGATGTGCCTGACCCACGGCACTCACAGACCAGGAGATGTGCCTGACCCACAGCACTCACAGACCAGGAGATGTGCCTGACCCACGGCACTCACAGACCAGGAGATGTGCCTGACCCACAGCACCCACAGACCAGGGGATGTGCCTGGCTGGTGCCTGCTATGTGCCTGACCCACGGCACTCACAGACCAGGAGATGTGCCTGACCCACAGCATCCACAGACCAGGGGATGTGCCTGGCTGGGCTATGCTCTCAGAACCCCAGCCTCTGAGGTAGCCAGGTTTCACTGGACGGGGGTGTTTAAAGCTCATGCTGTAACCCAGGCCAAAAGCCAACATGGTCCCAAGCCGCTTCACTCAAACCGGACCAAACCAGTCCGTCATTTGGGCTCAAAGCCGCCTTCTTCCTCCTCCCAACAACTGCACAGAGCAGATCTCTAACTCAAATGAGGACCCAGCTGGGAGTAGGTTCAAAGGCAGATTTTCTGTGCTGCTTTCCTGATAACACAAGGATGATATCCTGCCCTGAGCCACTGCTGTGTCCCGATCCTGCAGGAAAATATCCTATCTCCAAGCAAGTTGATGCTCCACCACTACTGAGGTCTAACCGCCCTTTGAAAGCTGACAGATCTGATAAAGGACATGAAAGCAAGCACCAGAGTCCTGGCAGGAAGCTGCTGGCCCAGTGAACACACACACAGAGCCTGGAGGCGAACTGGAGCCTCCTCCAGTGCATTGCTTGTGCCCCAGTAGCTGCTGCTCTGCAGCCGGCCACTGTCCCCACAGCACACAGGGTCCCAGCACACAGGACATGCGTCCCAGATGCTCTGAGCTCCAGTAGCGCTCGTGAGCTCCTGTGGAGAGGAAAGGAGAAGGAATCCTGCTCCATGCCCTGGGACACCTTGTGGATGGTTCCAGGAGGAAGCCGGACTGCCAGAGCAGCCCCTCCAGCCGCTCCGGGAGCGGTGCCTCGGCCCCTTTCCTGCTGACTTCATCTCCTACTGGGTTACAGGCGGTATTGCTTCCTCTTCACCACCTCCAGCATCCACAGAGGAAGAAGGATTTCTCGCCCTTTCTTGCTGATTGTGGCAGCCACATCCTCCCTTCCAGAGTCCAGACCCATGCAGGAAACAGCAGCCCCAGCCGGGGGGAGATCCATTCTGCCCCTGTGCCAAAGGGCAGGAGGTCTGGTGGAAGCAGTGCCTCCGTGGCGCCTGGCAGCATCCCCACTGCCCCAGCACAGCATTCCCAACCTTCTCCATCCCCTCCAGAGGAGCTGCAGGGCTGCCCCGTGTACAGGTACCCTTCGCAGGGCACAGCGAGCCAGGCTGAAGACTTGACCCAAAATCACACGAGGTGGCTTTCTACAAGTGCCAGAGCTTAGTCAAGTATTTCCCCAGTGCCCAGCCTCCCTGTCCCGAACTCCTTCTGTTTCCTCCTGGAGTTCAATGCACCTCCAAAGGCACCATTTGATGTCCACTCCCACTTTTCACCCTATGACAATTTGCATGCCAGAAAACTCCACAGGAAGGCTTTTTCACCAAAAAAAAAGAGCTCTGGGGTGACAAGCAGAAGTTAAGCTAAAACTTGTTTCCAGGCTGCACTCCAAGCAGTGGCTGAGCCAGCGCAGGGCTCTCTGAGCACTGCTCGGGCCTTTGTCCTTCATTCCTAAGTGCAGGGTGGTGGGGCGGGGAGAGCATGACGCTGGCATACTATGCAGTGAGCAAGGGTAAAACAGTCTTTACCCCTTGTAAAACAGTCACTAGAGCACACAAGGGAACCAGGAACTTTATTTCCCCTAAACGTTTTGCTCTAGTGACTGTTTTACAAGGGGTAAAAGAACCTCCTTTTGCCAGGAAATAGGAAAAGCCATCACTAACTGCAGGAAATCCCTGGAGAATGCCTGGACACGAACAGCGTCTCCCTTCAGCTTTGCAGCACAAACCTCACTCACCATCAGGGTGGCTGCTTTCCACCACCGTCTTTTGTCAGTACAGGGATTCCACATGCTAACGCAAACTGGAACTGGCCCCAGCACCCACTCCCCAGGCAGAAACCAGCTCGTACTTAAAACCCCTTTGGTGCTCACACCCAGCGTGCCTGGGCTCACCTGAACCTTTCTATCTCTCTGGGAACTCCTTTACCTTAGAGAAAGTTGCATTAGCCAGTGTGATCGTCATGTCCCGGGGCACTCCGGTGGGCATGGGCTCCAGAGAGGCAGGGACAATCCGCGGGCAGTCAATCTTCTTCTGTTATGTACAAAACAAGAGGAAAAAAGAGAGGTTGGCTGGGTTCATGCTGAGCGTCCCTAGTGACAAGGCAAGATGACACACCAGGGCCCTGGATAAGATTAATTTCACTCCATCTGTAAAGTCAGATCACACTGCAACCTGAGGAACTGAAATACCAAAATGGCACCCTGATGCAATGAGCAATAATGCCACATGGAGCCTTCCTTCCTCGAGGAGGGCTCCAAGTCCAGCCCAGCATGGCACTGCCTTAAAATCCACCCATCTGCATGTCAGACAGCCGTGGCGGTGGCTGGGTTTCCAGGAGGGCTCCTCCATAGCCATGGCCAGCAGCCACAGGAGCAGCACAGCAGGAATTCCCCTCTCACTCCCGCCAGACTCCTCTGCCAGCTTGGGACATGAGCAGCTCCCAGCCCCAGGCAGTGGGGAGCAGATGCCCAGCCTGCATTTCATCTTCTTGCCTTGGAAAACGTGTGCTCACAGGTGAACAGGGTCCTCAGCTGCCACTGGGCAGCTCCATCGCTACCTGCATTTAAACATTAGAAGACGGGGCTGGAGGGACACTAGAAGGAGGCACTGCAGCCTACGAGGGTGACTTTGCCAGGGTGGCAGCCGATGTCTCACACACCACGACACACACTCCTGCAAGCCCCGGCAGAGATTTCACTGCCCAGCGGTGTCCCTCCAGCACAGAGTCATTGCAGGAGTGAGCGGGGTCTGTGTGTGATCACATCTGCATGGGGGGAAAGGGTACAATGAGCTATGGGGGCTTCAGCAGGGGGACTGCAGCACTAGGGCAGCTGAAATTAAAGGCCTAAATGAAGCTGAAAAATGATTTTAAAAGGTCATCTGTCCCCCTACTTTTGTTCTCACTTTAAATTGATGGCTCAGATACTGGAGCTGACTCAGAATCCAAGTCTGTATGACAAGCCCATCCTGTTCTCTCATGAGATGTAAATCACACTGCAAAACTACAGCAAAAATGAAGCCAGATTCTCTGTTGCCCTAGGGTATATCCATATGAATGCCTCTGACAGTGGAGCCATTAGGGTAAAAGACAACAAAATATTTGGTCCATTATGCAGAATGATTTGCAGCAGGCAAGATTTCATTCTCACTTGCATTAAAGGTTACCCCACTGTGACTCTGCCGATGGCAGTGCTGCTGCTGCTCTGCTGAGAGGTAGCCCTGCCCTCCTAGCACCGAGATGCCGCAGAACACATCTCTGGTGCTGGACACGCAGTGATCATGAGGTTTCTCTCTTGCCTTCCCCCAGACCTAGCTAGGGCTCAGGGAGCTATCTGGAAGTGCCTGTTTTCCTCTGGAAAACATGCTTTGTTTCTATAAGGACACTCATCTTAACCAAGCACAGCTGGTGCTGCCTGAGCAAGGAGATTAAATAACAGAGATGCACATGATAAGAGAAGTAAAACAACAAAGCAAAGCACCGGAGAGAGATTTCAGTCACAAGCCTCCTCTTGGAGAATCAAAAGAGTTAAAATAAAACCAGCAGGGCCACAACTGAAAATTCATGTAAAAGCTCCTATGGCCTGGTGTGTCCTCACATGTCACAGCAGCTGGCATAGCTCGCTAGATAAATACACTTTAGAGGACTGATTAACTTGTCGTCTTGCAGCCCCCTCTCCTGCTGTTCATCAACAGCTAGAAATAGAGCTGATTATATTATTCATGTCTGGATCAGGGCAAAGGGTCTGAATGTTTAAAATGCTGTGGATGAAGCCTGTATGGTGCTGGCTTCCCCGTGGACCAGTTTTCAGGTGTAGCCAGCAACCGTGTGTTTACAGAAAGCTCAGACTGCAGGACCAGGCACCATGTTTCCAGGGCTACAGAGCACCTCTTCCTGCAGCTGCTCACCAAAAGGGTGGGAAGAGCTAAGAAAAGCAGAGATAAAACAGGAATGTGCCCAAGCCAGGTGCAGCATCCAACCTAACTGAACCTCTGGAGGAGGAGATCAGAGGCAAGAAAGAGAGGATAGGCACAGTTATCCTTACGGAAGGATAGGCACAGTTATCCCTGCCAGAGGGGAACCCTGGATCTTGCTGTCTGCTCAAGGTGATGGGAGTGGAATGGGAGGACTGGGTGCAGCTCTTCATTATGTGTAGCTGAGGCTCCTTGAGACCTTTGTCTATGACCCTAATATCCTCCCTCCGTGCAGAAGAGCAGCTATTCCTAATCCGTGCTGGTCCCCAGCCCCTCCTGTGGCCCTGATGCTGCTTGGTGCCACTGGCGGTGCTGATCCTGCCCTGGAGCCACTGCCCCAGTGCCTGGAGCACACGCAGCAGAGACCAAGGGTTCATGTGAGGCCCCAGAGCCCGGCACCCCCAGAGCCCAGCATCACCAGAGGCTGGCATCATCACAGCCTGTACATCACCAGAGCCCGCATAGCTCCGTGTCCTGGCACTGGGCAGGCACTGCAGAGCCTCAGCACATGGGTCCCTCATGGGGAGCAGCCATGAGGGAGGTTTTTCAAGTGTCCAGCACCCATCCAGACAACAAGAGAAAACACCAGATGCTTTCTGAAACCTGGGAAGTTGACAAAGTGGAGGGTGCTCCCCCCAAACCAGAGGGAGCGAATGCCAGGGCCAGCCCTGGGGTTAGCCCAGGGGGTGAGGGTGAGACATCTGACATGGGCTAATGTGTGCCAGTGATGGGCATGGGGAACGCTGGAAGAGCTGAGATGAGCTGTTAAAGTGTAAAAGCTTGGCTTAGATCTACACCAAGAGTGACTGCTAAAAAGCCAATTTTATTTAAATTATCTTCAATTTAAATTTCTGAAGCAGGAACACACTGAGCCTCGGGGTTATTAAAGGTGTAATTTGGAAAGGGGCAATTTTCTCCGTTAGGTGAGCACCACCAGTGGTGCTCCAGCAAATTATTAATGTACCACAATGGCCTAGTCAAAGCCAAATGGACTGTAAGGTATTGCTACGCTTGGTGTGTTACTCAAACCCAGCTGTCCAGGAAGTGGAGAAGCAGTGGCATTGCTCCAGACATGAGAGGTGATGAAGAGCCAAGCGATGGAGCTGCTGAAGGTAGGGGGGCAGCTGAATGCTTTAGCCAGGCTGGCAGCCTCCTCACACAGACATGCCTCCAGGCAAGGCACAGCAGGGCACTGCTGCAGCTTCCCTGCCCCACATGCATCCCCCTCCTAGTGCCAGCACAGGAAGGTGCCCCGACTCCATCCCACGACAAGCCGTAGCCAGCCCGTGCCGGCCGCTGCTGGAGGACACTCAGAGGCTGCTGGAAGGAGCAGTGAGGACTGAGCTGAGCATCAGTGCCTGAAGATCCCCAGGGTCATTGGGTGAAGTGAGGCTCAGGCTGGGGACCTCGAGGTACCATGGTACCAAGCCCAGCCTCAGCCCCACGCTCTCCCGCACTGCCAGGGAGCGCTGCAAACATGGTGCATGCAGAGCACCACCCAGAGTGATCCTTCAGCTCTCCATCGGCTGAGCCTCTGCAAGTGCGATGTGTATCACTGCATTTCAGACTGTGAGGCAGCCCACAGCCAGGCAGCAAAGCAGCACTGTCGTCGGAGCTGCCCCACACCCACCAACCCCATCTGCCCCATCCCGGGATAAGGAAAACCACAGCAACAGCACCCAACCACGGAAGGTGTCCCAGGGCAGCAAAGTTTGAGTGGCCTTACCTTCATCTGCAGTGCATCGTCACACTGGGAGTGGTTGGAAACACAGGCATAGGTGGAGGGGCACCAATGACACTTCCATCTGGTCGAGAGGCAGCTGGTGCACCTGAAATGGCAAAGGTGCAGTGAGAAGAGCAGATCTCGGGCTGCTCGTGGAAGCCAAACCTCAGCTGTGAGAGTGGTCTTCACACAGTGTTCAGTCTCTAATGGCACCCAGAAAAGCCCACAGCAGGGGCTGGGTTTTCCTCTCCTCTTCTCCCTGGGAGCTGGGGTGAGTCCCGCATTCCCTGTGCCACCCCGAAGACAGCTCTGGAGGCATCACCACCTGCCCCAGGCCCCAGCTGACTGGGAGCTGCCTCCCCTGCTTAGCAAAATATACCCTTTTCCCCAAAACCCTCTTTCCCCTTGTCCACCTCTCCAGGGAGCCAGGCAATTGATCCTGATAAAGGCTCTGCCCATGGTTTGCACAGGGCATGGGCTGGCTGGTGGGCAGGACATGGGGATCCCTGCGGGCAGGCTCCATGGCTGCACTCCTGAGAAGTGGATGGATGTCTGCTGCTGGCTCCCCTCAGCCCCCCGTGCTGACGAGGGGTACATGGCTGCTCCCAGCCAAAGCTGGAAGGGGTGAGAGCAGAGGGAACACCTCCCTCCCTCCCTCACCGCCCCACAGCCACCGCAGGGACCGCCGGGAGCCCAGCTCCGCTGCCAAAGGGTTAACAGAACAAGCTGGATATAAAAATATGATTCACATTCAAGAAAACCCAACACGTCCAGATGGCTCGAGGCAGCGCGAGGACCCTCCTGTGTAAATCCCTGGCAGCACAGCCCCAATGCTCCTGCCAAATCCTGCCCAGGCCCCTGCCAGGGGGCTGCGCTCCCCCATTAACACCCATGGGGGGACCTTTGTCCAGCCTCAACCGCTCCATCCATCTCCATCGCGCCGGTGCCACCCAGCCGCTGCCCACACACCCGAGGCACTTACGCTCTCTTCGGGTAAATGTTTCCAGTTCTTTTGCAATCGTAGATGGTGAAATTGGCCCGGATAATGTTTTTGCTGTTGACCCGGAGAGCAGTTTCGACAACCACGTGGTCTGAGAGAAACAAGCCAAAGAATATTGGGTTGCAAGAGCCTCTCACTCATGCTCACGCTTAGAAGACAAGACAGACCCTTGGGAAAACAAGGGCTAAATCTGATTTGTTTTCTCCAGGGCGTCCTCCGAGCTGCATTTCTGAGCTTGGACCATTCATCTTTTGCCCTTTGACTTCCAGCTCTTCCCTCTTAAATCAACTCTTTACATCACCCTCACCAGAAAAGAACATTGCGACTTTCAGCAGAAAATTCCAGCGTGTGGTGCAAGTGTTAATTAGCAGAGTTCATTATTGCCTTCGCTTACAGTTGGTGCTAAATGATATTTAAAAAAAATGTGGTAATTAAAACATGTTAGTTATCATGTTTTAAAACCCCGCTCACTTTCCCCATGACAACAAACTCGCAGAGAAGAGTGGAAATCCCTTTTTTGGCTACTTAACACACTACACTGACTCCCCATCCCCCAAAATTGCTTATTTTTTTTCCTTTTTCTTTGCAATTTTGCCATATAAGCACCAGGCACAAGAGACAATGCCTCTTTCAGAATATGTACAATAAATCAGCCCATTGGATTCCAGAAATTCATTTGGACGTTGCTGTAACCAACAATACAGAACAGTTAATGATCTCCCATTCTTTGGATAGCTAGGGGGAAAAACAATGCAGCTTTATAAACTTGCCTATGAAAAGTGGGATTTTCAAAAGGGCTGGTTAATTCTTCTCCTACTGAAGTCAGCCATCTTCAATAGAGCATTCACTCCAGGCTTGAAAGATGGAAATTTGACAAGCACTCAAGTCTGGAATGAAGCATCTCACTTCTCAGAAGGAGCTACAGAATGGGGCTGTCTCCGTCAGTAAATGCCAGTATCAGATCTGGTCAGCTTGGCCAGATCTAAAGTCAAGGCTTGGTTGACTTTAACCAGATGTGCAGGTGAATGTCACCTCGTAATGCAGTTCCAAGGAGTCTCAAGATGGACAACCCGTTCGTTACCATCTGAAAACAGGGGCATCCGAGAGAACCTCAGCCTGGCTTTTGATCACATAAAGGGGATTAAGAGTTTCTGAGCTGCCTTTAGGTATGCATTTGCTCTTCCTCCAGAACCTCTCCTGAAAGGTACCACATGTTCAGGGGGGAAATCAAACAAAACCAATTGAAAATATCAATGTAAGTAGCAACATTATTTCCCCAGGGCTAAGATATCTTTGGTTTAGTACTTGCTAAATCTAAAGCAGAAGCTCTAACCAGATAAATCTTAATAAAATAAGTATATGAACTGGCTTTTAAAGTCTGATGCTTAGAACAAAATTGATAGATTTGACATACTGTCAATTCACGTTAAAGACGGTGGAACTCCTACGCTTTAAAGTCATATGCCCTATAAAACAGAAGCAGCTTGGGTCTTTTTTTCCCTGTACGTGTTATCTGCACGTACAATTGGAGAAAGAAAAAAAAGCCTATGAAAAATTACATCCACAGAAGTGGTGAGAATGAACTGAGCTTGTTTCCCTCTACAAACCTTGGTCCTCTGGAAACGCTGGGTATTTCTCACGTGGAAGTAAACTGCAATAAATAAATTGGTTTACATAATCTCCAGCAACTCTGGCTACCGTGTGGATGTTGTTTCCATAGTCACATGAAATATTTGTTCCATTCAGGTTTGGGATAGTCCCATTTATTTGTATTATCAGGACCTACATGGGAGAAAAAAATATATCAGTTACCACGGAAAATTATAATTAGAATTTGTCAGTGTTTTCCAAGCTTTTCCTAGGCTAGTGACAGCAAAACAAGTCCTCGGGCAGCATTTTCCTTCATTTGGTGCACTTTGAACTCTCAAAGCCATCTGCATACAAAACCTTGCTTTGACAGTAAGAGCTCTGTCACCATGCACTCCAACAGCTGTAGCTGGCATGAAAACCCAGCCCAGGGCTTCCTCAGGAGACCACTCCGAGGAGGCAGGACGCAAAGGCTAAGCCCTCCCCGGCACCCAGGCTCTGCTCGACCCACGCTGTCTGCACAAACCGCTCTGTACCCGGGCTGGGCTCCTCATCCGCTGCCTCCCAACACTCTGGGGAGGGAGGAGGAAGAGGAGGAAGAGCAGAACAACATTAACCCCTGCTTCTGAGTGCCTGAACCTCCCGGATTGCACCAGTCCAGACCAGGGACGCGCGATGGGAGGTGTGGAGCTGGTGAAGCTGCCGGGAGGCTGCGGGGGGCCGGCCGCAAGCCAGCATCCTCCACCACACACAGGGACCGAGCGGCTGCCGGGATTTCTTTCTGCCGTCAGCCCCCGAGGGGAAGGGAGGGAAGTTTTGCAGAAAGGGAATGCTTTTGAGGAGGGCGGCCCAGAGAGCGCACAGCCCCTGTGCCCAGCGGGCTTCCCTGCCGCCGGCGGGTGAGCCCTGGGGGAACCTCAGCCCAGCACTCCTGCATGGCAAAAGTGGAGCTGGACTGATGCGAAGGTCCTGCGGGATCCCTCTCTCCAGCTCTGGTCTGGGCTTTGCCCCAGCTGCCTGCTTAAGAGTGATTGCCCCATGCTAGGACAGGCAGAGAGCTTTGGCACAGAGAGATTTCTGCCATTGGGAGAGGGTCTGTCTTTAAATGAAAAATATTTGGATGAAAACACTTGAAATATAATTAAGATATTGTTAAAAATAGCAACAATTCAACCCAAGAGATGAGTTTATCTAGCTGTCTGCAGCTGATGCTCTGTATTTTGACATTTTGCACATCTCTGCACTGTGCAGCGCAGGAGCGTTACAAGTGCTGCTCACCAACAGGCTCCGCAGCCGGTGTCCTGGGGCCTCCGGGCTGTTGAGGCACAGGAGGTCACCTCCAGGCACTCAAGAACCTTGGCCTGGCTTGGTAGCACACACCAGAGCTCAGCACCCGACGACCCACACCCGAGCTGTGTGGAGCTGTGCTCCTGTGCTGGAGGAGGATGGATATTTATCAGCCCTGAGAGCAGGTAATGACTCTACAGGACACTGCATGGGATTAATCCAGTATTCACATCAAACGCACCGGGTTCTCTTTGTCAATATTAATCTCGGGCTCCAAGATGGTCATTGAAGGGCACTGCTGCACTCCTTCACTTGTGCTCGCCCAGAAGTTGGCCCCTGTGAAGTTGGTGCACTCGTGCTGCAGAGAACACCTGCAGGGGAACAATTTGGGGTTGATTATGTTTAAAACAGGCGATAAAAACGTTTTCTTCCTCATGAGGGAAGATCCTGCGTCAATCCTGTGCCTGCATCCCTTCCCTCCATCCATGCAGCTAAGCCTAAAGCTTTGTTGCTATATTTAAAGTGTCTGGTTGCCATGATAAGAGCATGTATTCCCACCAGCATCAGCAGAGCACCAGGACTCAGGGTAAGCAAGCGCAGGCCAGGCTGAACCCAGAACGGCAGAGGAGACAGTGACAATTTGTTCGACCTCCAATTTGTAAATGTGGAGTCTAATTCCGTAAATCCCCTTTTGAGTGTCCAGTGTCTCCTCCTCATAAATGATAACTGCAAGGGCAAAAGACGATCTCTAACAGGGTGTTGGCTCTCTCAATCCCATGGTTGGATGCCTGCAAGATATTCTCTGCACTGGCAGCTGACTACAGCATAATAATGCAGCTACACTGAAATCCTGGCTCTGACGAGTATCTCGACTGTTTCAGACCAGATGAAATTGTTTTTAAAAGGATGTATTTCGTAAGGAACAGATGAAAACTAATGGCAGTGTGACTGTGTGGAAATACAGAAGGCACCAGAAATTCTTGCCTAGGCTTGAGGACCAAGGGACACGTCAAAGCGCACTGAGATGCAACCAGTCCTACCTGGTCTCCATCGTGCACCACCCGCAGTAAGCATCCGCAGCAGCCAGGCACTCCGTGCATGTTGAGTACTGGTTGCAGGCAGCCACCTTCACCCGTGTCATCTGCAAACAACAGCACAACTGCTTCCAACTGCTTTACAGCACCACAGAAACCTGACCGGGATAAGCCAGTCAGGCCACGTGTAGCCAGTGAGGAGCCACCAGCATCTTAGCTGTCTTAGCTCACCAGCATCTCAGGCTGCTTTAGCTGTCACCTGGACCAAGCCTTACAGGACAGACAAGCAGCAGACCCTGGCACCGCCGTCCTCCACCCCACACTGCCCAGAGGTGGGTGCTCTGTGTACGACCACCCCGACCACCCCTCGTGGAGCTCCCGCTGCCAGTGCCCCAGGGCAGCACGCCCAAGGGACAGGCCCTGCTGCCGCAGGGTGTGCAGCAGCACTGTGCTGGGCTGAGCTGAGCTGCTCCTTTTCGGCCAGCACCTTGGCCATAGCTGTGCAATGGACAGGCTATAGAGAGCCACACCACACCTTTCGATGCATCACAGATGCTTTCACAGCTTGTCTGTCCCTGTGAAAAGCTCTCACACAGATGTGCAGAAAGCTCCCTTCTAGACGGAGCTGAATGCTATCTGGCTATTTACATAATGACCAGAAAGCAACACCACCCTGGAAACCTTCCTTTGTAAAGAAATCAAAAAACCTCTGGAGACTTGCTCGGCAGGAAAAGTTGGAGCAAAGCCTAAATACTTGAGAAGGAAAACTGAGTCATTTGGTACTGACAACGTGAGGTGCTGAGAGCTCTGAGTTCCCACCAGGCGAGTGCACCATGGGCCACAGGCTCCTTGGCCTGACCCCACTGTACCCACAGCACCTTCCTGCTCCCCAGCCCTGTGGTGCTCAGCACCCCCAAACCCAACCCCATTTTGCTCCTGGGGAGCTTCCCAGGATGGCTGATGCTGTGATTCTATGATGCTAATTGCACCAAAGAAAAATTAACTCATCTGGTTTATTGGAAAAGAAAAAGACAGAGGAGAGCATCACAAGTGCTAGTGCTGCGTGTTTGATCAAGCCTGAAGGAGGTGCACAGCCCAGCCGGGAGCTGAGCTGAGACAGTCTGTAACATCAGCTAAAGAGGCATCCCGGAAGGGCTCTGTGAAATGGTAATGACCAGTCTGCAGGGAGACAGGGCTTGAAAAACAAAAATGCAACATATAACATTTGTGGTTCTGCATCTGTTTTGGCAGATTAAAATGTAATTCAGGACAAACCACGAGCGCCTGGAGCGCTCAGCTCTCATCCTCCTCCTCTGCTCACCTGATGGAGATGAGGCAATCTGTTCCTACCTGCTGCGGCATTCCCAGTCTCCATATCCAGCCCTCCTGCCCGCCAGGCTGAGCAGAAACCTCCTCCAGGATCATGTCTGACAGGCAGACTTTTTGTCTGTAGGATCTCCTAAAAGCCTTCTTAAAGACTGTGCGCCATATTCTCAGGTTTCTATACAGGAACAACCCCTGTTTGCTTCTGCACTCCCTTAAGTGGGGTGAGTTTCAACAGCTTTCACCCTTCTTTTTACCTGGCCACCACAAAGAGGACCAAGCCAGACAGGCCAGTCAGTTCAGTGTGACCCCCACGCTGCACAGGAGAACAACAGGCACAGGTACCTCCCAAAGCCCTTTGACACCCCAAAGCTCTGAGCTTCCTGACTCTGCCCATTCCTGTGAAAGCAAATTTTAGTGTCCCTTCCTGCTCCCAGCTGAGTGCTGAACGCTAAACCAAATGAGGGGCCCAAAGGACTGTTTCACTGGAGACTGAAGCTCTCACCTGATAGGAGGTCATCAGATAGAGGTAGGTAGAATCAGATGGGTCGAACTGCATGATAGGGTGGACAGGCTCTCCGTAAGCCACTGAAATGGATCTCCTGCTAATAACCTTCATGGTACTGTCCAGATTAATCTGTAGTGAGAAGAAGCCACTCATTGAGACCATTTGTCAAACACTATGGGGAGGAGATTATTTTTCCTTGGTTATAAACAAGCATCAAAGTGTTATCCATTGGTGTTCCATGTTTTCAAGCACTGTAAATCTCTACACACAGTTTGCAGGCTGCACTGAGGGAGCTGTACTGAAAAGCCAGCTCTGTGCCACAGGGAAGGCACTAAGCGGTCTAGAAAGCCCCAGCCATGGCCAGGAGCTAGGTGACAACCAGTCCAGCAGCCCTCGCTCCCTCTGTGCAAAGGCCTCTGACCGAGAGGCTGCCTGGAAAACTTGCACCCTACAGCTCTGGCACTGCACGGATGCTTCCAGCGGCAGTGCTGCCCTGCCCTAATGGAAGTGGCACCAGCCTCCAGCCCTTGTCATGTACGTATGTGCGTTTCTGTTACAAAGAATGCTGCATTTCTAAGCTTAATGAAAAACAGGGACAATAAATCAGCAACAGGGCTGTGCAGCATGGCATCCCCTGCTCCCCGCCTATCTGAAAAGTAAGAGTTGTCATTCCTGGCAAAAAGCAGCTTTCATCCCTGCTAATTCCAAAGACCACAGCAGCTGCCACAGGACAGCCAAATCCTACCTTGCCTCATGAATCACCAACTGAAGTGCTGGCAGTGATGGAAGAGGCTGCAAAGCATCAGCCTGCCTTTCAGATCTTAATGTCTTGGCATTTGACTTGAAAACTCAGCAAATTAAATGTGGCATTGCTGAGAGGAAATAACAATAGGGCTACACAATTTCATGTGACAGTCGTTTTTCAGCTTGAACCAGAAAGGGCATGAGGAAAATTCCTACATCCTTACTAGCAAGGGAAGGCAGTAATTGTAAAGACTAAGCATGCTTCTGCTCTCCAAAGTCTGGATTAATTAATTAACATAGGATTAATTAATTCTCACACTAGAGCAGCACCAACACATCCTAGTAAGATAACACAAGCTCAAAGCAGAGCGCTTTGCTCTGCTAAGAGCCATATGCAGGCACTGCAAGCTACTATGCAGAAAAAGAAGGGAACTATCATGATCCCCACTTAGAAACTGGCTATCCAGAAGCTAAATAATTTGCCTGAGATTACCCAAGATGTCCATGATCAAAGTCCCAGTGTCCTCCACTGTAGCTCTGTGACCACCCTCTCTCTCTTCACCCTGAGCTCTGCTCTGTGTCTGGCTGTTTCTAGGCACCTGTCCCCAGGTCTCTCTGCTTCAGGGCTTATTTACCCTGCACTGTCACTGCGCTGGCACTTGCCCTGGATCTCTGTGGGCTACGGCCCAGGGAACAGCCACAGCAGCAGCACAGAGGAGCAGAGATCAGCAGTCCTCTTGCTGGATGACACATGCTGCACTGGCAAGAGCAGAGTGGGCTGAAGCTCTGGGTGACCCCACCACAGCACCTTGTCTACAGACTTACAGACACGTGGGGACTCGCCAGAAGAAACCCTTCCCACCCCCATCTCCTTCCAGGACATCACACCCTGGCACACCATGCCCTGGCCACCGCTGCCTAAGTGCTGTTTTTCCTCTCATGCTGGATGTGACACTGATAATGGCCTGCATGCAATGCCCGTCTGCAGCCTATCTGATTAATCCCCTATACTTACCCCTGGCAGCCATAATTGCTGCTGGCAGGAGCTGGTCGAGCTCTATTCCTGCTCCTTTGCTGTTTTTTCTCAGGCAGCAAATCTGAATGATAACTCACGCAAAGTATCTTGTATCCCGTGCCAAATAACAAGGAGCCCCGAAGGTAAAAAGGCTTCTGGTTATGCAGCTGTGTTGTAGAATTAGATTAGAGCTATCTGAGCAAATTATCCCAGCAAAGGGTAGCCAGGAGCCTCTCCCTAATGGAGGCGCAGCAGATAAGGCTGCTTTCTCGAGATAATAATGGAAGCAGAGCTGTTAATGCTGTGTGAACAGGGGCTGCGCTGCGTGTGGCATGTGTGTCTGCCACCCTGCACCAGGTCGGGCTGCCAGCGCCCTCCCACCCGGCTGCATTACCTGCCCCTGCAGGCAGAAACCAAAGCTGGGGGTTTCTTTGTGATCGCTCCCACATTTCTGCCAGGAGCACTTGGGCTCAAGGGAAGAGATTGGATCCGTTTTCTTCTCTCCAAGCATTTTGATCCAATATTCCACATTACGCACCACTCACCCCAGGCAGGTATCAGCCACGTCTCTGCTCCAGGGTGCTTTTCTCCCCACCCCTCTATGGACTTTTGATGCTGAGAGCACACCAAACTGTTGTGGCGTGTTGGAATCAAAACTTTCTTTGGCAAACTTCAAGCACTAAAGTTGCTGAAACCCTGGCCTTGCATCTTGGCTCTGTAGCCAGGTTGCTGCAGTGCCTTACATTGCCTTTAGCATGTTGTTTAAAACAGATACTCCATGAGATGCATGGATTCGCACCTGCTTTGGACTCAGCTGAGATAAAGCATCTCTGGGTGATTCCCCTGTCCACAAGAAGCCTTCAAAACCCATCAGCTCAGGGGGAGAATTTATTAGAAGTGCTGTCGAGACTTAAACGCTGCACAATAACATTACCAGCATAGAGTTCATCAAGAACATCCTGCTCTCATGGCAGCCTTCAACAGCAATTAACGGCCACCAGTGGCCAGGCAGCAGGCATCACTGTTCACGTTACGGCAGCACCCAATTGCTTCTTCATTGCCGAACGCGAGCGGGTGCTCAAACCCCACAGGACGCGATGCCCGGTGCACAGCCCCGAGGGGAGCCCACCGCCCGCCCCGCTCCGCCCCGGCCCGGCCCCCAGCCGTGCCTGCCCAGGCTGTGTCTGCCGGGCTCCACTTGCCTTCAGGAGTCCTCCGCTGGCCGTGCCCAGGAACACCACGGTGTAGTTGTTGACGCTGGCCACGGCCACGGCGGTGAGGCCGCTGTAGGTGAACACGGGGGTCGCTGTGACGGGGTTGACGATGGCCAGCGGGTGCTGCAGGTGAGCCGCTCCACAGTCCAACTGCTCCGGCTGCAGCTGCAGGGAGACGCACGTGTCAGCGGGTGCAGCAGGCACCAACGGGTCCCCACCACCACCACTGCCCCAGGCTCCCTGTGCACAGAGTGCTGACAGCCCCGCTGTGCCCGGGGAAAGCTCCTCACCACCGAGCCATGGGAACAGGAAGATGTAACGGGTTAATTCGGGAGCAAAGAGCTGTGATAGAGACCCTCCTTTGTGCTTCGCAGATCTACCTCAGACCCAAATCCAGACCAGGCTTTGCTGGAGATGAGCTGTTGGAAAAGCTCCGCCCTTGCCCATGCTACCGGCAGGATCAGGGCAGTATGGGGATTGCTGCTGGAGCACTCCAGAACGGCATCCTCCAGCCAAAGGCCCATTTACTGTAGCAGCACCCTCAGACCTCAACGCAAAAGCCTGGTGCAATGATGAAAGGAGACAAGGGGCTCCTTGTCCCCTCTCCCACCAAAGCAGAGGTCTGTTATCCAGCACAGCGCTAGGGCTGCCTGCAGGGGTGGTTTCTCTGCCCACCAAAGGGAAGCCCTCCCAGGGGCTGCCTGCCCTGGTCCCACGCACTGCCCAGCGCTGCAGGGGGTCTCCCTTCCCGAGGGTCAGCGCTCGGGATCAGGGCTGGGGAGCGTGCGGAGCCGTGCTCAGCTGCAGCCCAGACGCCATCTCCAGCTCCTTCCTTCTCAAACAAAAGATGAAGAAAAAGGTTTTTCCAATAAAAGAGCTCAAAATGTTATTTCCCTGCAAGTGAGTGAGGAAGTGGCTGAGACCAGAGCCAAGGGGAGGAGGGGGAAGCGTGCTGGCGACTCTCCGGACTGTAAAACCTGGCTCTGGTCTTGCTGCTACTGCAGTCAACAGCAAAATTTCCACTGGTCTTCCACTGGGACAGGATGGGATGGAGCAGCTGTCAGGCAGGAGGGGGCACCGCACCGTGGGACACGGAAGGAAGAGCAGCAGCTGCGAAACTGCCCAGAAACCATCGACTTCGTCCACCCTCAGCCCCGGGGCAGAGGCTGGTACAAAGGCACCCATGTCCATTTGCTACCCGGTGCCAAAGGACAAAGGCAGAGAACAATTGCTAAGGACTCCTCACCTGTGAGCCTTGTCTCTAGGCAGGCATTTGGCTCCTTTGGCCGCAAGCAAGACAACAGACTTCAGCATCCCGTGCTAAATTAATTAGCACAGTTGCTGCATGACCGCAGCATTTGGAAACAGGACTGATGCCTCATATTCCTCCTACCCTGCCGAGACGCACCCAAGATTTATGACCACTCTTGCCCTGAATCCTCCAAGACTCCCCTTGCAATTTCTGCTCAGACAATGCGGACGGATTCAATGTCTGTACATCACAACAGTCTCACTGCTGACAATTTACCCGCTGTCACTCCTGCAGCAGCTTTTACGAAGTGCTGTGGGTGCAGCTGAAGCCGTTCAAATGATGGGCACGTTTCAAGGGCCATTACCACATCATCTACACTGTCATTTCAGGCTCATCTTAAGAGAAGCCACAACTGGGCTGTCACCCTTTGCAGTGCCGGCATGCGGCTGCAGGGATGACGCGCAGGTACTTGCAGGCTGCCTGGACCACACCAAGTTCAGGCCTTGACTGCGGGAAGTGGTTACACAAAGCTCTAGACAAAAGACCACTGGCGGGCTGCAACCCACATCCCTAAAACTAAGCACATTTCACGCCTTACTGAACTCAGCCCTAACATGGATATTCCTTCCAAAATAATCATCAGGAGTGCTAATTTAAGCAGAACAAATGCAGGGATTTGAGGCTGTATCTGTTAAGAAACTGGACCACGTGCTTCCACCAAGCCGAAGTTGACAACCAGGCTGTTCAGCATAGTCTCTCCTCCAAGGACTGAGAGCACAAGGGCCTGTATTTTAATTCCCTTATTATCATTATTATTTCATTAATGGAACCAGACTAAATCTTCAACTCTCCACTCTCTCCATATGGTTTAGAAGATTAGGGAAATCTTCAGGCTTCACAGCGAGAGTGTGAAACCCAGGCAGGATCACCCTGCTGCATGGACCCCTGGCTGGGGTGCACCTCCAGCCCTCCTGGCCATGACATGTGTGGGGTTGGTGCCCCATACTAGAGAGCACATCCCTGGACAACCATGGGGAAGAAACTTGCTAAAACCCAAACTGCATGTGCAGCAACTTGTCTGTGTCTCCATGAGTGAAGAGCTGGGAGGAAAGGAGCCCCCACAGGCCACCATCCACAGCATCCTCTGCACAATGGCACACACAGCAAATTCCCCTGTGCTGCAGAACACCTTATACCCCTGCCCAGCAGCAGCACACTGCTGCAGACACATCCAGGGCCTATTTCCCTGCTGCAAGCATGCTGCTGCGAACACCAGACTGGGTCCTCTCCACAAAACCACCCTGTTCTCAGTCCCTGCACCCCAGCAGACACCAGACCCATGCCACTGCTGCTGCTGCTACTGCTGATCAGGTCAGACAAGGAGCAACAACGACTGATTTGAAAAACTTCCTCTGCTAAAGCAAGTGCCAAGCAGGAGGCAATGTGTGCAGAGCTGCAGCTCGGTTCACACGGGACCAAGACGAAAGATCAGGTGTTGTGGATGGAAGGGACTCTGTTAAATGCATTTCGCAGTTTTATGGCATTTCACCTTATTAAAAAAATAAAATCACAGCTCAAATTATTAAGTGTGTCTGTTTGCCCCCATAACTGGGCCACACAACAATCTTATACCATACAGAGAGCATGGCAAGCCATTCATGTTTCTGATTTAATGGTCCCTGTCACAGCTAGGCCCTCAGACATGCACTTATTTGCCTTGGGAATGATTATCTCTAGCCCCTCTTCATTACCCCTCACCAGTATTTACCACCTGAAGCTCACAAGCCTCCCTCCCATGGGAAACTGAGGCACATCAGGGCCCACCTGGGAGCCCGAGGGATGCTTAGCACCTCCTCTTGCAGCAGCTGCCTGTGGAGCCGGTACCGGCACTGGTGTGTCAGCAGCTGGCGGACACGGCCCCTTCTTCTCACAGGAGGCCAAGATCACGGGAAGCTCCTTATCTGCTGCGCCTGCCTGCTTGTAAATCATGCGTTTCAGAGCCAATATCAGCACCAAGTGTTTTCCATGGTAAACAGGATGTAACTATTCTAACACTGGCTAAGCTTTATTTGACCGCGTACATCCTTCCTCTGAAACACCTTTCTTTAAACTACATCAGCTCTTCCGACGGCAGGCAGCAGGAGACATATGGTGTTTCCCTCTCTCGGGTCCCAGGGTGGGGTAACACACTGTGCTCTGCTCTCTGTACACCACAACACTGAGGGGACATCTTCATTCTGTCACGTTACAGTAAACAGGATACGGCCAAGTCACATCCTTCTGCAGACAGCAGGCAATCGCCACAGCTTGGGAAAACACACTTAAAGGCTTTTTCCTTGTGGAATGGGTTAAATCTCGCTCCATCTTAAATCAAACTACCCTACCCTGAGGTGGGGCAAGCATAAACCCGTTTTCTTTCAAAACCAATCTCTTTCTATCATCTGCATTTTAAAGCAACACCATGGGCATTTACTGTATTGCCACTACTTTTCTGCTACATGCTCTGGACACTCAGGAACTCACAGAAATACGGGGCGAGTCTAGATTCAAATCCTTCTGCACCCAAACCATTTGACTGGCACTTTGAGGCCTCAGGCACAAGCTGGAGACATCCCGCAGCCAGCATGGGCAGAGCAGCGCTGCGGCCGTCCTGTGTTCCCCCGCTCACAGGGAGCATGGCCTCAGGATTTCTGCACCATTTCACCGGGGACACCAATGAATGCAAACCAGGGAGCCACATCTGAGAGGAGGGTTAGTCAGATCAACCCCAACCGTGACTGCACAAACTAAGTGGGGCAGAGAGAGGTTTCCAGCCCCATCACAGCTCAGGAGTTCGGCTGTTTCCACAGCACGAGTTCAGTTCTTTATCCCAGGTCTAAAAGGAGCAGAAAAAGCAATTTCCCAGTATTCCCATTACATCTCCCAGAGGCGGGTGCTGCACCCCAAAGGCAGCCGTGCAGGATGTCCCCTCGGGAAGGAAGTCTGCTGGAAACAGAAGGAGGAAGAGGAGTGGTGAGGCAGCACTCAGGAAAACCATGAAACAGACTGATTTCTGCATCCTGTGTTTGTGACCTTAGTTCTTTAGCAAAGGTGGAGTTTATTTCTGAACCAAAAGCAGGCTGCAGTTCAAAAGCCCTGCAGCTTGTGCTTCCAGCAAGGCTTTTCTGACTCCAGTGCAGCGGGGCTGAAAGCTTCACGGAGCAGCACAAAGTGGAAAGGGAGTCCAGCCCCTTTCATGCATCGTATCAGAGCGGATTAAAGTGCTGGCTCTTAGCATGCCTGGAGTCCTGGGAAAATGACACAGCCAGCATCCGATAATCTGCTCCAAACTTGTTGATTTGTGGGACTTAGCCATCATCTTCATAGGCTCAAAATCTGGCAGTTGCTCCCACACAACTGACATTTTCAGGCCATTAAAGGCTGTGGTAAAAGGACTCCATTTTTATCTCCTGCCTTCCTTAACATAAACCATTAGAGGCTTTTATTACCATTTAGGTATGACTCAGGGAAACCTCGGATTACAGAGAGAATATCCAAAATAATTCAGATACTGCCCAAAAACACAACAGCAGGACATGCACTCACAGCAGAAGAGAAGCGAGAGGATAAAATTCACAGGAACCATTGCACAGCGGAGTGAGAGCTGGTGGCAGGGCAGCACGGCTGCATTATGGAAACGGGGAGCACAAGTCCTCCCTGTGTCGGGCAGAGTCCAGCCTGGGCAGGAGCCCAATGCAGGCAGAGCCCGGTCCTGCTGAGCACTGTGGCTGCCGGCAGTTTGTACACACAATCACGCATTTATCTGCTGCAGCTTCACCACCAGAGCCGTCAGAAACCGTCTCTTTGGGATGCCTGGAGGAAAATGTCATCCTCAGAAGAGGGCTCTACTGTTAAGGCACTTGAGACGTAAGCG